CCGAGAAGGTAATGTGTTACTCAGAAATCATATTATATATTGGTACCTCCCGAGCGGCATATATTATATGCTCGCCCCTCCTCCTCCTCCTCATCGGACCCCCACGTGGTATTTGTCAGCGATGACCGCGCCATCTCCTTCGCAATGTCCATCCCCAAAGACGCCACCGACCAATTCTACTTCCAGATGCGCGCCCACCGGAGCCACGCCTGGGCCGCCATAGGTCTGGGGTCCGACGACATGCCCGGCGCCCTGGTGCTGATGATGTACGACAACCACGACGAGACCAACGTCACCTTCTCGCCGCGCATCGCCCACGGCCACCGCGAGCCCGAGTACTTCCCGGCCATGGACTACGAGATCTACTCGGGCACCGGCATCTACAACGAGCACATGGTCGTCGCCGGCCGCTGCCTGAGCAACTGCCTCAGCTGGCCGCTCGGCGAGGACGGCAGGCAGAGGGGGGCCATAGACGTCTCGTCGCAGTCCCAGGGCGCCATGTACGCCCTCGGCCCCCTCGCCGGCTTCAACAGCGACCACCCTCGCTCGAGCGTCCAGTACCACGTCCAGTACGGCTCCTTCAGCATGAACATGTCCGATGCGAGGGGCGCCACCGCCCCGCTCAGCGTCGACCTCGCACGCCAGAGGGCCAATGACGGCACGGAGCTCACGGCCAGGTTCATACGCAAGGCCGACGTGCTGGCCACCGTACACGCCGTCTGCATGGTCATGGCCTTTGTCCTCGTCATGCCTCTCGGTGCTGTCATGCTCCGTCTGGGCCACGCCGTCCGCTGGCACGCCCTCACCCAGTCGTCGGCCATGGTCGTTGTCATTGTGGGATTCGGCGTCGGCGTCGCCACCTCTCTCAGATACCAGAGGGTCAGTATCCCAGTTCTCGGTATCCTGATCCTGACCCTTCCCCTCCTCCTCCTACCGTCCCCTCCCCTCTCCTCCACCCGGTCCCTCCTCCTCTCCCCCGAAAGCGGATGATCACTGACGCGAAGACCAAAACCAAAACAAAACAAAAAACAAAAAAACAGTCGCGCGGCTTCGACTCCTACCACCAGATCCTCGGCATCATCATCACCATCTTCGTCCTCGGCCAATTCTGCCTGGGCTTCTACAATCACCGCCTACCCCCGCCACGACGGCGGACCCTGATCAGCAAGGCACACCCTTGGGTCGGCCGATTCATCATCTTTTTCGGAATAATGAATGGCTTCCTGTACGTCTCCCTCCCTATCCTCCCCTATCCTCCCTCGCTCTCCCCAACCCCCCCGCACCTCTCGTACGACCCCCTCTCTGACGTCGCCCAGTGGTTTCACCTTTGGCATGAACCGGCGCTACGCCATCATACTCGCCGCCCTCATCATAGCAATGTGCGTCGCCATCTTCCTCACAATCGTCGGCAAGCGCTTCCTCACCCGCCGCCGAGAACGTCGCGGCGCCTCCCGCAACAGCGCCCCCCGCTCCATGCGCGCCTCGCCCAGCGGCCGCCCGTTTGAGCGCCTGCCTACGTACCCTCCCCATGGCCCGCCGCCCTCCTGGCCCGCACCCGTGCCCGCCCCGGGCTTCGCCGCCCCTCCGCCGGGCCAGCATGCGTACTACTACCCACCACCACAGCCTCCCTCCCCTCTGGGAGACCAGCAGTCGCCGCAGCACCAGTTCCGCTACCAGTTCCAGCCCCAACAGGGCGTCGTCCTGCACCAGCAACCCGTCGTCCCCGGAACTGCGGGGGCCCCTCCTGCCCCGGATCAGGCTTACCAGCCGCCGCCGATGGCGAGCACACAGGCCCCTCGGGAGCTCATATGATATGCAATCGGTGTGGTCTATCATATACGTGATTATGGCTGTGATGTCTGTTTCTTTCTTCATCTTATTTCATCATGGATGGCGAGGCGTTTTTTTTCTACATCTCTTTCGTTTCCTCTGAAATCATCATGGTATGGTGTCTTTGGTTTTTTTTTTTTTGGTTCTTCTTTTATATATCTTTCTTTCTCTGTTATGTCTCCTGGAATTGATATATAGGCAGGCCCTGGCGTTGGGATTTGATGAGACACTGAAGAGAAAGAGTAAGCGAACGGAAACACACAAACCCCCCCCCTCCCCCCCCCTCGAAAGAAAGAAAAAAACACCTGACAGATACTCCCTCCACCCTTTCCAAGATAAATTTAATAAGACATGTCCCTTTTTATTCGACTCGTCTATTGTATATAAGTTCTTGTATCTCTCTCCACGGACTCACTCTATTCATGTTTCCTCCTGATCTCCCTCCAGCCAAATCTCATGGCCGTCACCCTCGCGGACAAACAGACTAGCCAGGAAACCTAGGACAGCAACGGCACTCATAGCCCACCACACGACGCCGACGACGCCGGCATCCAGCCCCAGGCCGTAGACCAAGCCGCCGACCATGGGACCGATGGTGCGCGCGCCGCTGCTGACGCTCTGGCCTATCCCGTGCACGGTACCCAGAACGCTCGGGTGCGGCGAGCAGTTGTTGATGAGGATCGTCTGGGCGGGCAGGGCGAAGGTCCTCCCGAGGACCTGGATGAACAGCACGCAGAACAGAGCCACCCACACGGCCGGGCCGGACTTGGCCTCGGGCGGCGGCGCGGCGCTCGGCACGACGGACAGGTACGGCACCAGGAAGTAGGCCAGGGGGAAGCAGCACAGGGACAGGCGCCACGACACCACCGTGCCCAGACGGGCGGCCACGCGCGGGTACAGCACCAGCTGCATCGTTATGCCGATGACGCCGAGCGTGGCCATGGCCAGCCCGACCGACTGCGGGGCCAGGCCCAGCCCGCCCGTGAAGCGGAAGGGGAGCCGCGTGGCGTGCGACGACCTGTCGGCGTCGTAGACGGGCGTGGAGAGGAAGACGAACCACAGGGAGTTGAAGGTGCCGATGTGCAGGGACATGAAGAAGTGGGATATCAGCGTCAGCACGACGTTGCGCGTGAATATCCGTCGGAAGGGCAGGTGGTTCGTGAACCGTCTACCGCCACCCCTCGTCTTCAAGTTTGCCGCAGCCGGATCAGAATCGGGAGCGGGAGCGGGAGCAGGGTCAATCTCGATGGACTCGTCGTTGTCGTGATCCGCGGTGGGGACGGCGGTGTAATGACCGCCCTCTCTCCGCAGCGGCCCACGGCCGAGGCACCGGCTGAGAAGCGAGGCCAGGCCGCGACCCAGCCTGAGTCCCAGGTCCCCGCCCGAGGAGCCGGCGACGGCGATGGAACCTAGCGTCTCCTCGAGACAGAGCCAGACACCGGCGGCGGAGAAGACGAGGAAGACGAAGCTGAGTATGTTGGGCGCCGCGTACGGGTACTTTTCGAAGAAGGCGATGCCGCCAAACACGTCCGGATAGCTGCCCGCCGGGTCGGACATGATGCCGCCTAGGATGGGGCCGATGATGACGCCGACGTTGAACGTCATTGGGAGGAGCAGGAACGCTCTCGACTGGTATTTCTTTTCATTGATGATTTCGCTGATCCTAGATTTTTTTTTAAAAAAACAAGATTAATTTATTTAACTCTTTTTTTTTTCTTTTTTTAAAAAAAAAAAAAGATCAAGGTGAGAAGACTCGACACATATTACACACAAGAAGAGCTCGTATGCACATGTATGCGTGGGTGGAGATGACGAGAAAGAGAAGAAGAAGAAAAGGAGAAGAAAACGTACATGGTTCTCATAACTCCAACATTACCATTCGTTATACCACCCAACGTACGGAAGACGAGGGCCTGCCAGAAGGCCGTGGAGAAGCCTATGCCGAGACAGGACAGGCTGGTGCCCGTCAGGCCGACGAGGATGACGGCCTTGCGTCCCGCGCGCGGGGAGTCGGCCACCCGACCCCACAGCATGGCCGTGACGAACTGCGCGGCCGTGAAGCTGGCGTGCAGAGCGCCGGCGTGGGTCGATATGGCTGAGTCGGGGAGGGAGGGGTCGAACCATTTCAGTTGGTAGAATACGTAGGCCTTTTGATGCGTCGAGTGTTATCATACCAGAGCAGTATAACTCTTATCTCTTTCTCTCTCCCTCACATGGTAAGAGAGAGAGAGAGAGAGAGAGAGAGGAAGAGGAGGGAGAGAGAGAGAGAGGAGAGAGGATAGAGAGAGGGAGAGAAGAGTAGAGGGTAGAGAAATAGCGATTCAAGTGAGAAAATACCTGAAGAGATGTCTGAACAAGAGGTTCACTAAGTCGAGCCAATGTTATCACAACAAGCTGATCCTTCCGAGGCAAATCACCCCACGATACAGACTCTTCCTTCTGCCTCTTGGCCTCGACGTCGACGTCGTCGCCGTCCCGTGCTACTACGGGATCATCGTGAGTGTCGTCAACGACGGTCAGCTCGGCGATAACCTCGGAGTCGTCATGATGAGGGGTGCGATGGTCCAAAGCTGGAGCATCTAAGCTCCCCGGGTCTCTGGTATCCTTCATGTCCCACTGGGAGGTCAGTATGTATATATATACTATATATATATATATACAGATTGATGTGAATAGAAGTCGATTCCTGAAGAAAAAAAAAGAACTTGATAAATAATCCAACTTTATCGGTGTAGTATAGAGGAAATCAGCTTTTTTCTCTCCCAAGGTGGGGCGCGGGGGTCCGTCTCTACAAGTTGTAGAAGATTGGAAATGGTCTATTCTCAAGAGGAAAAATAAATAGGACGAAGAATGGGGTAAGAATCAATTCAATAGACGAAAACGCCATTTACTGCTACGATAACACATCTCCATACGTGTGGGAGAAGAAGAAAAAGACTTTTCCCCCCTCTTTGCCACACACACACACACACACACACACACACACACACACACACATACACATACACACACCCGCACACACGCACATATGGGCTACACCGTCTCCGTGACCGACAGGGAAGACGAAAGCTGCCGATTTTACCGGATTGGCCGATGACGGGATCGAGAGAACCAGTTGTCGACCTCCCCCCTCCCCCCCGATAGCGCAGTAATCAGTCGCTCTTTGATTGGTGTGCCTGTCGGTGCTCGGGGACGAGATATGACAATAGAGCAGAGAGTAGTCTATCTGTACAGGTACCATCGTACTTGGTAGTCTGGAAGAAGAGTCGTGGTGCACGTGATGTAGATGTCTGCCATGTCTGACCCTAAACCTCGTCCCTCTACACAGAGACACAGCATCCCAGAATCATCCGACCTCGGTCATCATGTCCACCAAGATCGGCATCGGCGGCGTCGCCGTCGAGGTGACGGCCCAGCCGTTGACAAGCGAAGCCTTCTCCCGGTTTGGCGACGTCGTCGCCAACCCCCGTCCCCACGTCCACCCATCCGCCCACGACGGCTCCCTGACCGCCAACGCCGTGTCCGCCAACCAGGGGACGGCCATCCAGTACCGCGACGTCAGCAGCATCAGGAACCTGTACGATCAGTCGCCCAGCGGGAGGTCGTCTCCCAAGATGAGCATCTTCCGCTGCGCAGCCAGGGAGGACATCGGCATCGTCGGTAGCGGCGCAGCAGCCGCTGGCCGCTTCGCCGTCAGGGTCATGGAGCGTCACCCCTTCACCACCCAGACCTTCACGCCCGTGGCCTCCTCGGCATCGAGATACCTCGTCATCGTCGCCCCCAGCCTGACCCCCACCGGCCAGGATGAGGGGCTCGTCGTGCCGAGTCGGGGCCACGGCCTACCCGGGAGGGGACTGCCCGACGTGCGGAACCTCGAGGCTTTCGTCGCCGAGAGCCACCAGGCTGTCACGTACGGTGCCGGTACGTGGCATGCGCCCATGGTCGTCCTGGGCGGGAAGGGGACGGCCCTGGACTTTGTCGTCTTCCAGTTTGCCAGCGGTGAGGCGGAAGAGGACTGTCAGCTGGTCGACTTTGAGGCCGGGCCGGATGGTGGGATCCATGTCTTGATACCCCATGGGAAGATTATGGCAAACCTATGAGAAGGAGAGATGGGAGCATGGACATGAAGGTGTGGATATCCGGAATGTAGTTTGAGGGATCCCAATGTGTTGCAAGGCCGGTTACGTGCCGTCATACCATGCCTTCATCTCCAGCCCAGGCTTGAAGATGGGCTGGTCGTTCGTGGGACCTAGTAATACTTGACACCGCAGCTCAAACTCTCGCGGAGACGACCCCCTATTACAGGTTGGATCCTTGATGCTACATCTAGAACATTACTATCCTTTCAAGACAATATATACATATATGTATGTATATGTATATGTATGTGTCCAAGTCTACCACACCCACTTTGCCCCGTCTGAACCTCTCTCTTGGTAGCAATGCTACAATTAATAAGCTAGAATCTGATAGTGTGAAAATAACCCGGCGGCGCAGCAGCCCAATCAATCGATGCCGGCCGAAACAACATGCATCTTTGTTCATGTGAGGGGGAAATCGGATATAGGCGCTCCCAAAGCACTCACCCACACCGCTCCATCACGATACACATCTCCAGAAGAGCATCTCATATCTCATCCGCCCTGTGACGCGCCACCATGGGCTCAGAGGCAGCGGCCCAGACCAAGCTGGAGGATCTCTCGGGCATCGTCCTCCAACCGGGAGAGAATCCCTACGCCGCCTTCATCAGGGCCTGCGATGACGACCATGTAAACAACGATACATTTCACGCTCATCCACTGCCTTTGATCTTCCTTTATCCTCTTTTTATTCCCCTTTTTTTTTTAAAAAAAAAAAAAAAACTACTCTTTTTTATTCTCTTCTCATTCCAATCTGAAATCCTTCCGAGAAGAAGACTGGATGCTGACAACCAGGCCCGTCGTCGACACCTTAGAATGTGATCCGTACCCTGTATGACACCCATCGCACCAAGCGCAACGCCCAGCAAAAGGCCAAGTTCCTCTCGGCCGACTACACCGGCCTATCCATAGACCAGCACCTTCTCAAGCTGGAGACGGATCCGGCGTTCCGTGATGAGAGACACTGCCTCGTATTCTGGGCCCGGCCACCGTCCCACATCATCGATCTGGCCGTCCATCTCCAGAAGTTGCTGCGGAAGAGTGCCCCGAGTGAGAGCAGACCCGTACCCGTACCCGTACCCGTACCCGTACCCGCCACATCATACCGCGGAGTCCATGGCTGACCGAACCGTGCTGTCTCGTCTGTTCCGAGGGTGGGTTGGGGGGGAAAAAAGATGTATGGCTCATGCCAACCTACAGGATGCACATGACAACACTGGAGCTCGCGTTCTGCAAGACTCCCGAGGAGATCGCAGATCTCGTGTCCACGCTGCGCACCTCCATGGTCTCCGTGGCCAGCTACACGCACACGCACCGCACGCGCCTCGTCAGGCCCACCATCTCGTATGACCTGTCGGCCTTTGCGCTGTCGTTCCTCCCCGCCGCCGAGACGGACGCCGTCGCCTCGCCGCCGCCCTCGGCCCCGGACACGGCCGTCGACGTCGTCCGGAACGACGCCTACTCCTACCACCACCTGCGCCGCGACATCTTCGACAGCGTCCAGCGAGCCGGCGTCGAGGTCGGCTCGCGGTACCAGGTGCCCAGCGCACACATCACGCTAGGCAGGTATCTCACCGACGAGGATCACGATACGCCCGACAAGAGACGTGCGTGGGTCCAGGCTATCGACCACGTCAACGCCTGGCTGGAGAAGGATGTCTGGGATGCTCGTGATGCCCGGTTTCTGGGTGAGTGGATGGTTGGCCAGGAACGCGGTCTGGATATGAGGGCCGGCACCTTGTGGTACGGAGCTGGTAGAACCATCACCATGGGAGAGGGCTTCTAGACCCCTTCTCCCCTCCTGCCATTCTTTTCAGTCGTCATCTTTCAGTCGACCGCAGAGATAAAGCTCCGCAGGAAGGGACAAAAGAGACGATTCACGATGGTATCAGTGAGGCTTGTGGTGATCAAATGTATTCATCAATCCCATCCGGGACGTTTCTCCTATACACATTTTACCCCTCAAAGCAAAAGAGCACCTTGGGCACCACATCCTCGACCTAAGCGGTTGGGAGGGGGGAAATCCCCCTAGACAGAGGGTGAGGGTGTAATGGCATCGTGAATGAAAGGGATTTTTTATCGGGTTTTTTTTTCCGTCTTTATTCGTTCCCTATGAACCGTTCCTCAACTGAAGAGTACATTGTTCCTTTTTTTTTTTGCAACCCCCTTCGCCAAAAGTTGTTTCCATGATGCCCATAATGCCGCGCAGAAGGAGAAGCACCCAAAGTGTGCAGTGACCCAAATTCCATCAACAACACATTTAGAAAACAAGAGCAGCACCCTTGGTCTTCTTGTCACCACTGTAGGAAGGGAGAGAGAGCCGTGTTAGCGCATTGCCTATCCTAGGGGAGGAGGGAAGACGAAAAAAATAGAGAGAGAGGAACAGAAGAAACATACCCGAGCTCGAAGTGCTTGCAGCGCTTCAGAGGAAGCTGGCACTTGGTCTTGCACTTGACGCACTCCATGCGCAGCACAACCTTCTTGGTGGTCTTGGCCTTCTTGTGGAAGACGGGCTTGGTCTGACCACCGTAACCGGACTGCTTTCGGTCGTAACGGCGCTTACCCTGGGCGAAAAGCGAGGCCTTACCGGCCTTGTACTGGGTCACCTTGTGCTGGGTGTGCTTGCGGCACTCCCGGCCCTTGCAGTAGGTGTTGCGGGTCTTGGGAATGTTGACCTATTGTGATAGTTGTCAGTTTCGGCCATGTTCGATCCTTCATCAATCTCTGTTTTTGTTGTAGATATGGTGGTCTGGTGGAGGGCCTCGATGTTCCTCTCAGAATTTTACATGTAGTCGATGGTTTCATGGTTATCGTCTGCCCACCCGTCTGAACGGAAGATCATCATCCGCCCGCCCGCTCGTAGCCCGTAGTTTGACACTCGGTCCGCCTGAGATAGTGCCCCTCCGTTTCTTGTGAAAATTGTAGTTTGTATACTGAGGGGAGGAAATATATTCAAGTGACAAACGAGGCGATATAGAAGTTGGTCGAGCAATCTCTTTTTTTCTTTGTTTCTTCTTCTCGAAGCGGGCGGGGAGACGGACGTATGACGGTGCGGGCGGCGATGTAGAAAACCATGGACGACTTGAGGGGTAAAAAGAGAGGCGACTCATCGAGGCAATCCAAAGAACCGCCCTGTTGTCTTTGAGGAAGCAGTATGATGGGAATGTTGGCTTACCATCTTGGGCGACTGTTTGCGGGTGTCGTTCCGGTTGTGTGTGGTGATGCAAAGTTCCGGAGGGCGAAGGAAATTTGCGGATTTTGGTGTGTTTTCTCGCTTTGTGGGATCTAGGGTCAAGCCACCATGCCTGATTTGCTCAGGACCGTGGGCCTTGTGTGCGTGGTCACCAGCCACAAAGAGGGCCGACCAGCTCAGCCACATCAAGGACCCACGACGTATGGCTTTCGACGCTGGTATCCACTTTGTCCTTACTCCTTTCCCAAAGGGAACCCCACCATAAAACCGTCCAAGTTGCTTTGGTGGATGCCGGCGCCAGGTGTTCATTGCGAGACGAGAGAGCTTGTGACGACGATTGTCGATTTCAATACCCAGCTCCGCATCCACACCCCGAATCGTCCTCCTCCCCGACACGAGAAATAAACCGCAGGCATGGACCCCTACTCGGCAGAAGGTGAATTGATCAACATTCACAACTACTTCCATCAAGGCCAATACCAGGAGGTGGTCGACTTCGACACGTCGTCCTTCTCCCCCGAGAACGCCGTGCCCGCAAAGGTCCTCGTCCTGAGGGCCCGCATCGCCCTCGGCCAGGCCAAGGATGTCGCGAGTGAAGTGAAGGGCGAGTCCGAGCCCGATCTCCAAGCTGTTGGCGCCCTGGCCGACCTGTCCCTTGGCAACGCCGACTCCGCCGTCAAGACCATCGAGGGGCTCGCCTCGTCGTCGCCTGACAACGTCACCGTCCAGGTTGTCGGGGGTATCGTCCTCCAGGCCGCCGGCAAGTCCGAGGATGCCCTTGCGCTCCTGTCGCAGCACCAGGGAAGCCGTAAGTTCTTCGTCTTCACCTTCCAGCCCTCCTCCCCCACCCTATGTTTCCAGTTGCGCCGCAGTCTGCTAAGGTACCACCCTCTCTAGTCGACGCCGTCTCTCTCATTGTCCAGATCTACCTGTCGCAGAACCGAATCGACCTCGCCCTCAAGGAAGTCACTGGAGCGAGGAGGTGGGCCCAGGACAGCCTTCTTGTCAACCTGGCAGAGTCGTGGGTCGGCCTGAGGGTCGGCGGTGAGAAGTACCAGCAGGCCTTCTACGTCTTCGAGGAGCTCGCCCAGGCCCCCGCCACCTCGTCATCGTGGAGCCTCGTCTCCCAGGCCGTCTGTGAGCTTCACCTCGGCCGCCTCGAGGAGTCGCAGGCTGCACTGGAGCAGGCCCTCCAGAAGGACCCCGGGCAGGCTGATGCCATTGCCAACCTACTCGTCCTGACCGTCATCTCCGGAAAGGACCCCAAGGAGTTTACAGAGTATGTCGATCCTCTTATCAACTCCACCCCTCTTTTTCTTCCTCACTAACGACAGCTCTCCCCACCCAGATCACTAAAGAAGGCCAACCCCAAGCACAAGTTCCTGGTGGACCTCGAGGAAAAGAATGAGCTGTTTGACAAGGCCGCGGCCAAGTACAAGCCCAAGGTGGCGGCATAGAATGGGATACTAGAAAGCGTGGCATGAATATCTTATGATTTGGCGCATGATTAACTGCAATATTTTCAATGAAAAAAAAATACGCAATGTACCTTTGACCTTTTCATATTACATGAGAGAGCAGAAGATGGAAGCTAATTTTCTTTACATCATGAAATAAAAGAGAAGCCTGGATATCTGATCTCTTGCCCAATCCATACAGCAGCTCTGTACCCCTCAAGGTCCAGCTGCACATGAGGACGTAACATACCTTGTCTCCCGTAGCGCAAACCATGTCTGCCCCCCTCAGAAGAAGTCCCAATCGGCATCACCATCCCAACGAAGCGGTGGTTCCATGATAATGGTGGGTATCTTCGGCGTTGGCAATGACAGCGATCCACTTTCTACCCTGGGGTATGGCCTCTGTCCACCTTCACACACGGATTCCACCGTACTCTGTGTCCGTGCATACTCGGGGCCTAGGAATGTATTGGGTGTCTCAGCTTTTCCTTTCTTTTCGTTTACCCGTTCGTTTTTCTGTTCCAAAATTGGTTCGCGGGTATCTTGATTGACTAGTGTATCTGCTGATTTCGACGAATGCCCACGTGCTGAATTACGGACAGAGTTCGGCCTTTCAACATCGTGGTAGATGCGAAACGATCTAAACTTTTCCTCTGCCTCTCCATCGTATGGCTGGAAACCACTGTCGTCAATACTGTATGGTGGAAGGGCAAGAAATCCTGGTCGGCGGTCGTCTTCGACTTCGTCGTCGTTGATCCACAGATACTTCCGTACATGATTCCAGAATCTCCGCCCCTCGACCGCATCCCTGATACTCTGTGCCGCTGGGGCCACTTCCTCGAGACACTCTTCCTTTCCCACTCCACCAGGAGCGTCGTCGAGGCATCTGCATAGGGGAGACTGTGTAAAGTACTGGCTGTACGCCAGGAAGGCCAGAGTGTCGCGCGGGGCATCTAGACCTGGGGAGTAGAGTCGTGACGACGAAGAGACGGCGGTGTTGGATGACATCGCCTCGCTTGACTTGACTGACGGGTACGTTTCAGACACCGTAGACCCTGTAGGGCACGTTTCCTCTGTGTGGTGAGAGTCTAGCCGCTCGATCAGTGAGGAACCCAGGGAGGAGCGAGTGCTGTGTTCCTCCTGGCGCGTGGGCACAGCTCGGCGTCGACCCAGGTTAGAGGAGAAGCCGCTGCTGAGGCCCCTGCGTTCTCGTCTGCGATTCATGATGCTGCCATCATCTGAAGGGGGGATCCTTGCTATTGTTGTCGTCCTCGTATTCGTCGGCAGGTTGCCCTGGCCCGTATAACAGTGTGCCATCGTGACCGTGGCGTTTGAACAAGGAGGACCGAGCGGGTACAAATTGTAGGGAAGGCCTGGCGAGATTACATATACCTAGGACTTGTTCAATATGAGTATACCCCTTTTCTGATGGAGGACCTAGTGCTGTCCATTGACAGCCATGTGCATGGTGAGAATGGCCTCGGAAGGCTAAGCCGTGTAGGTGTGGTGGCAACGCTGGGATAAATCACAGAGATGGGGGAGTAGATATACGTTGCCAGGCGATTTACTCGAAGCAAGTTCACTTCTTTGTCACAATTTTGGTTCGTGGCGCAGTTGAGTCTTCAGTTACTGCGCAGGTGATGGTAGGTGTTGGCAGTCCGTCGAACAAAGGGATGGACAGCCGGCATATGGCTGATGACTGACGAGGGGCCCAAAACTAGGCATGATTCTTGTCCGCCTGTCGGAGAACGATGCGGCACTCGACGAGACAGAGAGACTGAACCAAAGCTGTGGCCTCGTAAGCCAAAAATTTTGACGCGAAAGGATGTGTATTGAAGCGCCCATTTCCAGCCGTTTAATAACACCAGTGAAATACCAAAATCATCAGTCATGCCTTTCCATCAATAGTTGCTTGCGGGCCTGTTGAGCGTAGAAAAAGAATGAGACTTAATGTAGCTTTCTCGACCCGCGCCCTGGTGCCTTGTACAATCCTCATGGCATTTTTTTTCTTTTCGATTTCTCTTGTGATATAATTTCTATTTCCCTTGGCCCTTAAGGAGGACGAGTTGCTCATTTCTTCTTGGCGAACCTGGGGGTACCGATGCCGCTACCACGGAGCTTGACGTTGAGGACACGCTCCATGGCCGCGAGGACCTTTTGGTCGGGCGCCGCGCTGCCACGCTCAAACTCGGCAACGATGGCCTGGGTGGTGTTGCATTTGGTGGCGAGGTCCTTTTGCGTCATCTTCGGCTCCATCTTCTGTCGTGACTGGGAAATGGCGTCGCCGACCGCCTTGCCGACCGTGTTGGGCTTGATGATGTCGTCGGAGCGGTCGACCTTTGTTAGGCGCTGGCCATCACCGCTGCTAGTCTGTTATTGTCGTTGCGTTAGAATCATGATCATGCTTCGTCATTTGTAGGGTGTACGCCGCGCGCGGGGTTAACGTGGGACGAGACAGGTACACCCCTCTCGACCGAACTAGCGGATGACCAGGGTGAGGGATGGACAGATAGACGTCGGATGGAGGGGAAAAAAGAGAGGAAGCCATGACAAGGAAAGTAAGGGATGTCAGCACTTACAGCGTTGGCGGTTGCGTACTTCTTCTCGGTTCCAATGACGCCGCCGCTACGCTGAGCAGCGTTGAGGGCGCTCTTGCCACGAACGACAGTCTCGCGCTGAGAGACGCCAGGACCGCGAACCCTGCTGCCAATCTTGGTGACCTGATCCCAGTCGTCAGACATGATTGCTGCTATGTGTTGTGATGTGCTGTGGTGGCGGTTTCGTCTCGTGCGTAGTTGGTCGCGTGAGAAGGAGGGAATTTGAAAATGTAAAGTTGGTGGGTAGGTACAGTAGAAAGATGCCTCTCTCCGGGGATATTAATATATGGATCATGGAGACCAGAGCAGCTCGCCGCTCGGTCTTTGACTCAATCGGCGGCGGGGCACAGCCGCTGGCTGGGGCTGGTGTGCCGCTCCTTTCCTCTCGAAAACGGCAATGGAACATGCTAGACACCCATGCGACTACTGCGGTTACGTAGGAAAGGGCTTGACCTCGATGACAAAATGCTCACTAGCCACATACATTCGTCCAGCCACATTTGATAGTTCGACCCGAAATGACTAATCGGCCCTCACCTGAGAAAGGTACGTACCCTTAGACGCTGCCTTCGTGCCTCATGGCTGGGACCTTGATGGTTCAAATCCGATGGGTGGTGATATCACTGTGCCTAAGCCCATGGAATAAAACCACCCGGATACCCCATGTTTTGAGGGGAATCCTATCCTGACTTCCACCGCATCGGACCTCTCCCCCCTAGGGGGACGGCCGTCCCCGGACAAGGTCCTCCTCATGGACGGCATCTCGGACGATTCACCCCTGGCTACCCTGCTCTGGGTCTGGGACTGCGTCGAGACTTTACTTGAAAGATACCCTCGTCTTCCTGTGGACTTCTGCGTACTGTCTACTTATCTCTTCTTGTTTGATGGAGCCTTGAAAACAGCTCTCAACTCTCTGGCCTTGTTTGGCTGGCTGAAACTCGCTCCCTTCCGACTTATACGAGCAGCCCACCAGGGTATTTTCGCGGTGGTAGTCGGCGCAGCTCTTTGGTCTACACGCTTTTTTTCTCCTCGGTCCCGGAGTGACGAATGCCGTGGTGCTCCCGGATGGTCTGCTTTGTCTTACCTGATTCCTTGTTGCGTCACACAGACGAGACTGCTGCCCAAGAGGCATTCCTTCTCACACCCACATCTCCTCGTGGGCATCCCAGTAGGGATCAAGGGAGTTGTCAATGGGGTGATATCGGTGGAAGAACCAGGTCCCCGTTCAGCTGTCCCGTATTTCCTCTCATCATCCAAGGCATGGTACGACGTGGATTCGGCTGATCACCTGGATGGAGGCGCAGGCGGCCTTCGCCACAAACTAGATGGCCATCTCAAGTCTCAGGTGTGACTGCCCAGCTCTCCTCAGTACTATTATTCAAGACCGTGGGACTCACGTGAAGCAGGGAGCCGATCCGGAAGACTACCCCTACGCATATCTGGTCACCACTGCAAGGTCGATGGGGTACCACTTCAGCCCGGTGTCTTTCTGGTACCTTTATTCACCAGACAAGACGCTCTCTGCCATGGTTGTTGAGATGAACAATCTCTTTGGGGAAAGACGTGCTTATGTATTGACTAGAGATGGTGCTGCCAATCGTCTGACAGCCGCGAGGCCCCAAGAGGCAAGGAGGCCAGATATCTTCAATGCCTCGTGGAAAAAGGACTTTCATGTTTCGCCATTCAACTCCAGAAAGGGTTCGTATACCCTCCTCGCCACAGACCCCCTGGAACCGGACCTGGAGGGATTCCGAGGCATCGATGCGACAATCACTCTGGTATCATCAAAGGGGCAAACAAAGGTTGTCGCCAAGGTCTCATCATCAGGCGAAGCTATTGACGCCTCTTCTATGAACTTGTCCCAGAAGCTGTGTTTCCTGAGCTCCTGGTGGTTGAACGGCTTCCTCACTCTCCCAAGGTTAGTCAAGGAATATGCTGTACTATACTTCAAGCATGATCTTCACATCTGGTATCGACCCGAGCCTCTGAAGGACACCTGGGCAAGAAATGCCAGCGCTACCGAGATGGTCTTGGAGAGTGTTTTCCGCGATTACCTCGGCTTTCTGGTAGAGTCGTCCCCTATGCCTTTGGTAGTGGTGTACATCCCAAGTCGGATCCCTGGACATGGAGAGCAAGTTTTCCAATCACCCAGTGCGGCGGGTGAGAGGGCCCCCGAAGCCGAAAAGGTTCGTATAAAGGTTCTCACCCCATCATTCTACTCTCGTTTCGTCAGCTATGCCCACGACATGGAGGCCATCTTTTGCGAAATGACTGAGAGCTGCACCATCTGGGTTGACAAGCCCGACGTCCTCCCAAAGATCTTTATCAAGAGACCTACGCCACCGGTAAACACCCACAGACTCGGCGAATTTCTCATGTTCAAGGCGATTCATTCCCTGCGTCGACGACCGCCCAGCATTAAGCGACCCATGACGTCTGCCGAACACCCTGCACCAACGCCCCGTGTAGTGGATATTCGCGACTTTCGTATCTCGTCAATGGACGGCTTCGTCCTCAATCATATGGCGTCCTCGGACAGGGCGGCGTACAGTTCCGCGGTGATTCGACAGTTCCTAGCGGACCGATTACTTGGGGGCTACGCCAGTGTCCTCGAGGCCGGGGGTACCCTTTGTCGACTGGCAGTGGTCTGGGCTGCTGCCACGATGTTGGCCAATATTGCAACAGGGCTCAATCTTATTTGATACGGGAGCTGCGAACAAAGAAACGATAAGCAGAAACAGAGAGAAGAAACATCCTCCCATATGTGAAAATTGGCAGACTCTCCGAAACGATACGAACCGATATCCGAGCCGGTGGGGGTGTTCCGGTACCATCGACGGCCACTGTGGAAATGAAATCACTATAACATCACAATATCGGGATCGACGACGACTTAGGTGCCGCCCCAATTCTTTCTCTTTATTTTGTTTCTCCTTTGGCCACGAGGCCCGATACTTCCGACGCTGCTTGGCTGCATATTGAGCTGTGCAAGCGAAAGGACCGAATCCCAGCTAACACGGATCAAACCGCCACACCCATGTCGCCCATGAGTACTTTTAACGCGTCCCATGGCGGGGAGGGGCACATTGTCGACGTCAGCACACATGCCGGATTACATGGCAACACTGCGATGAAGCCGCTTGACAAGATGGGCAGTCAAGCTACCCAATCTACCCAAGGGTTTGAACAAGCCGTGTCGACGAATCCGAGTCCAATTGACTACATGCGGGCGGGCCAGATGCAGAGGAGGGACATGGGGGAAAAGGAAGCTTTGTCCAATCACTTGGAGCCCCCCCCTAATATCCGAAGTCTACATCTCCTCGAAGCTCGAAGCTTAGAAAAACGTCATACATCGCATTCATATCCTTACGCCCCGCGCGCACCGCCATATCTTTTTCCTTTCCCCGCCTTGCCTGTCCACCCCCCCTCCCCCAAAGAGAGAAAACGAGTGAGAATCAGATGCAGTTATATATATATATATATCTCCAGTAACCCCGCTTACGCGCCTTGCCTCTTGTTCTTTCCCCTCTTCCAATTCTGAACGTCCAAAGTCTTGAACTTCTGCACCGGAAACATCCTTCCAACTACAAACCACCCCAAAACCCATCGCCATGACTCTCACAGGACACTGCCTCTGCAAGGCCGTCACCTACAAGGCGGACGTGTCCGAACCCCTCATTACAGCCTACGACCACTGTGATGACTGCCAGCGCCAATCAGGCTCTACCTACTGTATGCCACCACACATACCTATATAGAACCGGAATAGAAAACACTGATCAATGCCTTCTTCTCACAACAGCCCTCGTCACCGTCGTCCCCAAGGAAAAACTCACAATCAGCGGCCCCATCAAGAAGTGGGAGGGTAAGGGAAGCTCCGGTCACTCAGTCTGGCGCCTCTTCTGCTCTGAGTGCGGATCCCCCATCGCCCATGACCCTGATGCTGCACCCGAGATCATCGCCCTCAAGGCTGGTACCTTGGACTCGGACATCAAGAAGAAGCTCAACCCTGTAAGATCTTTCATTCGCAATACATCTCTCCTTCACCATTCGCGGACATATTCCCTTACTCGTCTTGTCATCCTCACCTCTTTTGCAAACCCAAGCATCTTCACATCGGCCAATGCCAAAAGCTTACACAAACCTTCCCGCAGGACACCGAAATCTGGACCGTCAGCAAGCTCCCTTTCTGCAAGGAGAACCTGTCTAAGCCCTTCAAGTACATGCCCGAATAAATAATCAAGATTTTTTTTTAGGGGAACAGGAGCTGCGCAACTGGACATTTGCCTTTGTTGTACTGGTCTGTACCTCACTACGGAGTATACGCTTTGCCATCCTTCATATTTATTGATGGGCTATGGGGGCGTTTACGGAGTGAGGCATCTTAGCACATAGAGCTGGGTCTGTATGGGCGCACAGATTGATGTTGTCAATGTGGTTAACTAGTTTGCGTGGGCCGACAATGAACATACGACTTGTCAGAATCAATAGTATCAACGGACAATATTACAAGGGTGAATAAAGAAAGGGTGTTGGATAATTATTCTGATTCGTGTGCTATTGATACAGGTGCCTAGAAGAGGATTTCGTCAACATGGCAAAGGTAACCGCTCCACACTTCACTTCTACGCCATTGATACCCACCACCAAGTTCAACTTCCATTTTCATTTATCACAAGCCATTGGCGAAGAGAAGGCCCACACTAAGCAGGAGGCACCCAACTGCCGCTACCGAGTTGGTAGGGAGAATCCGGTATCCCGACGACTCGCACGACCTCTTTTTTCCACCCGAGCACGTACCGTGAGCAGGGCCTGCCGTCGCGGTAGTGGAACTCGGCACATCGCTTTCCGCGGGGTACGGAGAGTAGTTTGTTTCCTCGTCGGTGTCCTCAATGGAATCCGTCGGTTCAGCCTCGGTATCCTGGGGGTACGTGGGATATTCCTTAAGAGGTGTGGCAGAAGGAGATGGGCTAGCTCTCTGGCGAGGAGAGGCAGTTGGCCGCTCCGGACGAGGGCCAGCCGGGTGGTAGCTTTCATGTCCGGACGTGGTAGAGGCTGAAGGACCCGTGGGAACAGGATTCCTCGACTGCTCGGGGCCAGGGGTGAGCGGGTAGTAGCTGGAAGTCGCAGACGGCCCAGAAGAAGAGGAACCTGCGGACTGAGAGCTAGTGACGGACGGGTACGGATAACGGCTCTGAGTTCCAGTCAGACTAGACGAATCTAAGGCTTGCGGGCTAGCAGTGAACGGATAGTAGCTATGAGAGTTTGACGTGGCAGAAGCGGAAGGAACCGTGAGGATAGGGTTCCTCGACTGAGGACCAGTAGGCTGAGGGTTAGGGATCCTCGACTGCCCAGGGCCAGGGGTTGGTGGGTAGTTCTTCGTCGACTGGGGCGTGGGGGAAGGAGAGGGGCCCCTCGACTGAGGACCAGTAGGCTGAGGGTTAGGAATTCTCGAATGAGGACCAGGGGTTGGCGGGTACTCTTCAGCCTTAGGCGTGTGAGAAGGAGAGGGGCCCCTCGACTGAGGACCAGAAGGCCGAGGGTTAGGAATCCTCGACTGCTCAGGGCCAGGGGTCGGCGGATAGTTCTTCGTCGACTGGGGCGTGGCAGAAGGGGAGGGTCCTCTCGTCAGGGAAGAAGAAGCAGCCAGAGGGTACCTGGACAGCGTCTTTATTGGATAGCCGAATGTGACAGTGAGAAGTCGTACAGACCTTGACGGAGCAGCAGGTGTGGAACTGGACAAGCTTGAACGAATCTCAGAAGTAGAGCTGGTGCTGGCAAGACCCGTTCGGACTCTGGATCCACCTGGGGCCGTTGGGCGTGCCTTGGTGATCCGAGTGGAGCTAGCCGAAGGCTTCTGAATGCTTGGCGAAGGAGTTTGGGAGGTAACAGTGCTGGTCCTTGAGCCCCCCGAAGAGTGGCTCAGGCACGTGGAGCTGCGCTGAGGAGTGGCTCCGGAAGGGGGCGTTCCAGTCCTGGAGCCCGGTGGGGTGGCCCGAGAGGTGGTCGACCCAGTCTGGTTGGTGGCGGTGTTTGCAGGGCGGGAGGAAGCAGAATGATGGGCGGTGTTTGATTTGCTCGTGCTGACAAGAGGGTAGAGAGAAGTAGAAATGAGAGTCTTGGAGGGGCTAGGAGAGAGAGTCGGTACCAGACTAGAAGTCGGGGGATAAGGATAAGGCGAATCCCCGTAGCCTGGGTAGTAGTTGTTGCCAGCCGTGCAATAGTATCCGAGGAGTCTCTTGGCGATTTCGGCCCAGATGAGAAGGTCATCGTCGTCCCTGACACTGGCGTCAAAGAACGAGGCTGCCCTCTCGCCCATATTGACCACACTGTCCTGGCTGTCTTGCTGGTTGACGTGCTGGCTGCCCTGCTGATCGCCTTGCTCAGTGTCCTGTTGGCTGTTTTGCTGGCCACGAGCACCGCCAGTAGCCTCAGCATTGCACCAGTTCGTCAAGTCGTCGCCGTAACGCCGCTGAAGCTGACTGCTACCCACGACGACGGTTGTATCGTCTGACCTGAGGCAAACCTTCTCAAAGACGATGGCCATTGCACATTGGGTCTCGTCCCTGCCACCAGAGTTGACACAGGAACTCGAGGCCTCGTCTCCATTGGGGGCGGAACAAGTTGGCCGAGAATTTCCGGTACCAAGTATCTTGTCGAGGGCATACAAGACAGCGTCAGGACCGGTGATGAGACCAAAACCCTTGTCCACAGTGAGGGCATAGGAACCGAGGGCGACAGTAGTGGCCGTAGCTCCCGCAGCGCTCGTCACCCCAGACGAGTAGGTGCTCAGAGAAGAGGCCATGGCAATGATAGGGGCGGGAATTGCAGGTGTAGGGAGCAACGAGGGATCGGGCACCGGAAATTCTATGAGACAAGTTGAATGCTATGTGGGCATGAAGCGAGAAAAAAAGCAAAGGGCAGAACTGGCACCGGCCGTGGAAAGGGATAACAGATGTTGAGGGTCTTGATGGTGTGGAAGAGAAAGAGAAGAAGAAGAGGGGGAAAGGAATGGAGGGCAGATCTGAGTATGGTTTTATGGCCTGCTGTTTGGCTCTTTCTGGTTCCATGCACCTTCCTGCGTTTCTCTGGGGGGTTGGAGGAAGGAGCGTTTTGAAGGAACGTTTTGAAGGAGCGACTGGTAGGCACCGAGGGCAACAGACACTAGGCTGGTCTGCGCCGTAGCAACACGTCTCGGCAACTTCCTTAAGCAGTGATCCGGGCTCTTCAGTCTGGTGCGTAGGAAGGCACAATCATCTTGTAGAAGGCTCCGCAGTCATACTCCCCCCCCTCTTTCCCCAAGAATCTAGTACACGACGGTTCAGGTGCTCCTGAGCCCCCCCCCCCGGAGACCTCTTGGCCTCAGGAAGGTGGAAGCATACCCGGGCCAAGGTCACAAATGCCGATACAGCACAGTAGCTCCTTCACCTTGGAGACTTTACCCAGTCGCCGCACTCCCTTGCCACAAAACAACGATTCATGGCAATTGCCAAGGCCCTGAGCTCCCCCCCATCGATGGCGTCCAACGTCAGCCAGTTGGGGTAGGTCCGGTCGGTGAGCCTGTTCCACAGCGCCGTTCGCAGTGCAGTCATGGACTCACGACCCATATCGATGACCGTGAAATCATCAGGCATTGTCACCACTGTGATGCTAGTCAGGGTCCGGAGCCATTGCATGTCGTACAGTGTAGCATCGCGCCTGGGCCGATGGACTTCGAGCTCGTGAAGTTGGTGACGGCTCATCTTCTCCACAGAGTACTGTTCACTCCAGGTAGTGCGCGTGGGGAAGTTGCCGTTGTGGGTGAAGCCTTGGCTGGGCGGCGGGAACGTCTCTGGATTGGCGTCCTTCCACTTGGAGCTGAAGTGTAGGATGACGGCCGACTTTCTATGTCCAATGAGCTGCTTGAGTGATATCGTCGTTATGTCGACGTCATCAGGAAGTGTGGCGCGGTGATTGACCTTGTACAGGAGTTCGTAGAACTTTTCTCGGTCAGAGGAGGAGAATTCTTTGTAGCCTCTTCCTTGGCTCCAGGTCTCAGAGTGTACATCCCAGATGATGAGCTCTCCTGGGTTCTCCTCGTTAAACCTGTTGACCTCGTCCACGACATCTTCCAAGTTGGCACCGGTACCCCCGTACCACTGGCGTTTGAAAAGCGTCCCATGGGCCTCCAGGAACTCCCCGTGTCTCGACAATAAGACTCTCGTATCCAGAACACGTACTCTATCAGTGCGTAGCTGTTCGCCGACTCCATTGATCTGTGTGACTGTGTTTCTCTTTCCCACGCCTACGTTCTTGGATGTAAAGACGCCCTTGGACAGGGCTGCATGGTGGGATCGGGGCATGATGATTTCCCGCAGAGGTAGGTGGCCGATCTGGGGGAGCAGCGTGTTCATCCAGGTAATGTCCTGTCTGCACCCTTCGCACCCGCATCCCGTCGTGGATGTCATGTTGCCCTCGTAGCCCGCGAGAATGAACGACACCCCGCCCGGAGCCTTGCTGGAGCCGAGACCCATAAAGGAACATCTCGGTGCTGTGCTGGTCTCTAATACTCCCTCAAAGTAGACACAAATTTCCAGCTTCCTGGAGCTCCTCATGCGGTACTGAACCTCGAACGCCATAGTCCGGCTAGTGCCCTCGATCTGGTACACAACCTCGCCGGCAGTGTCCTTGGCTTGACCTACGCCACGGTAGCCAAATGCTGCATGACTGATCGACTCGCCTGGGTTGATGCAGTCAGGCCACTGGTCCCAGTAGACCATCTGGTACTGGTGAATGGATACGCGTCTCCAGCGGTACGGTGTAGCGTTGATGAGGGCGATGTTGGTATCTGAGGGGGAGCTGAGAGCCCTCCGGCCGGAGGCGAATTCGAATCGCTTTCCCAGATCGTCTACCCATGATGAGCTAGCAGTATGGGAAGAGCGCCCTTGGTGACGAAACTCTTCTGGGGTGGTGGTGCTATTGATTCTGCCGTGGTAATAAGCACCGGGCAGCGCAGTGACGGCGTCCTGGGATGCTTGACTGACATCTATTCGAGGGGAGTCGGTTGCGGTCCCTTGCAAGATCAAGGGACAGAGAAGTAGGGAATATACCCCCAAGAGAAAGCCCCTGAGATTTCGAGCCATGATACGATGCTTAGGGTTTCGAGTTGGTAAAGTCGTACAGGTGGGCGTGTACATAGGTGGTAACGATAACGACTGGGGTTGCAGGGGGAGATGAGGTCACATTGAAGTTGTAACAGCCATCATCGATATATTGTCTGTCTGACCTGGAATATATCTTGCTTGGGGATCCTAATTCATTTGCCATTTCGGGCAGGTGGCTGCGATGAGTGGCGCCAAGGTGGTAAGCACCGTAAACTGCCTCACACGGAAGCGCACAACTCTGCATGCGCATAATCAGCCACGTCATGACACATTAAATTGAAGAGGAGGAAGCAAGCCTGGCATTTTTTATTTTGTTTTCTGCATTGCTGGCCTCAATGGAATAAAGCAAATCGTAACTCGTTTGTGCGCCAATACCAAGCCTGTAGTCTACCATCTCACTCGCGGCATGATTAGAGAGGGGATTTTATCAAGATGTGTGGGCATGATCCACGCCATGCATCCGACGGAACGCTATGGCGTATCGGCACATTTCATCCGGTGGCGATGATGCCGGTCATTAGATCCTCATCCTCTATCTGCGACTCAAAGCTGCCGGTGGGGTCCTCTTCTTCCTTGTCGAACCGTTTCTGTTCGCGTACGACATGGTTGACGTACTCCCTATTCCCACTCAGATAGTCATTGACCAGTTGATACTCCTTCCCGACTGATGAGATGATGAGGTGAGACTGGGCTATCTGCCGGGCAAAGTCTTGCTCCGTTAGGCGATCATGGTCGGCGTGGAACTTGAGATAGGCGCCATCTTCGGCCGTGTGGAGCTCGCCCTTCAGCATCCCCGACTCGATCATGCCCTCAATTAGGGTAACGACATCATCTTCGGTCGTCTGTGGGCTGTTTACCACAGCACTGGATGTGGAGACAGCAATCTGCGATACGGATATCTGCGTGTAGACCTTCCGCATGTTGATGATTTGCCACTGTTGGTAGGCGGATAGCACCTGATCAATCAGTGATTGGTTTGCAGCCTCCTCCCAGATGGGACGGTTCGATTCGGCCTCGTGCCTGAGCTTCTCTGCGTCCGAGGAGGCGAAGAGCTGTGCAATGCTGGTGTAGGGTGCGGAAATGTTGGTGTATATCGCCTTGGCCGACTGTGATGTATAGGGGGGGATTGTGGGTGCGTGGCCGTAGTAGAGTAGGCTGACGAGCATCCATCTTTTGTAGGCCTCGGTCATGATCTTGCTTACACCCTTGTCCTTGCTGGGGTGGGTGACGACTCGTTCGAAGGCTTTGACAGCCTTTCCCCACTGGTGGCACGATGTGTAAATCAGCCCGCATACGAAGTTGTACTCGAGGACGGTATTTGCCTTGATTCCGCGCGTCATGCCGGAAGATACGGTGATGAAGACCGAGGGAGACAGGCTCGCGTCACAAAGCGGCCTGCTGTCCTTGGGCCTAGACAGGGTGGGGTAAGATGTAATGTCGCGGTCGATGACTTCGAGGACCGGGTCGATATAGTCGGATTCGTATGCCAGCGTTGCTAGGGTCGGATGGATCGACGTGAACATGGAACCGGCAGGGTCGATTCGCAGTAACACTGTCGAGAGAAGCTCAACCGTCACGAGAGACTGTCGTGCAGGCGAGAGCCAGTTAGCAACGGCTGTTCGGAACAGAGGCCCGATAAGATGGCACATACTGAGAAGGCATTCCCGCTAGCCACATACTCTAGAACGGAAAGAAGTAGCGAGCCCACGTAGCGGATGTGACGAGAGTCGAACTGCGTGAGGAAGTCGACGGTAGCATCGAGCACGACATTCCGATCAACCGAGGATGACGGGTGGTTTGAAGAAGAGGCAGGGCTGATGGTGGCGATGAGAGGTTCGAGGACGGCCAGGTAACCTATCGAATTTGCAGAAGGGTCCAGTAGCTAGAGGGAACGGCCGGATAACGGGTCAGTTGGGGGCAGAGTCCTCTTGGTCTTGTCACGGTGGGAAGCATTTGCTCACCCGGAGATGATACTCTGGCTTCGCCAAGACGGCCTCCCTCAGCGTGTCGCCCAGTCCACTCAGCGCCGAGATGTACGACCTGATGGCACGATCCTCCTCGGCAGGTTCATCGGGATTAAAGGAGTGCGCGGCCGGGAAGGCCGTCAGAACTGAAGAGATATAATCCATGGCTGTAAAGGCCCCATCCGCGGCGGGGCAGCTGCCGATTTGTCGTGTCTCGGGGGGAGGACGAGTAACGTAGGCTGAGGGGTTGTAGCGCGTATTAGTAAAGTCCGAGGGAAACTTGAACGGTACAGAGAGTGATCGTCTCTGCGGTTATGACGGGAAGGAGACAAAGCACAAGGGGAAGGCATAAGATGCGGGAAGCTCAAGAAGATGAAGCGCGAGAAGAAGTTCGGCGGGGTGAATCCAGGACGACGTCGCTGCCTGGCCTGGAAGCTGTTGGGGCCAGCTCCAGTGTTTAGCCGATTTCAGCACGTACCGGATTCACCCAACCGTTACCAAACCATCAAACTTGACATCATCACTAACATCACTATGATTATCATCGTCGCCGGTCTCCAAATGTTCTGTTATGCTCGTTGAAATATCTCCCTTATAAGCCGCGCATTTTGCCTTTCAGTCCGTCGCTCATATCATGTTTCTCCAAACACCCTCTATCTTTATTATACTACATGCGTATATTCAGCGATATATCCAGCGCCCCCTCCTTTTTCATTCTAGGTGGCCTGATTGTGCTGCTTACTGGTCACTGCATGGGCTTCCGTGGTGGTCCGATGGGACCCAGGCGATGGTAAAAGGGCGACGTGGAGCCGTTGAAACTCGAAGTTGTCGACCGTCGCGCGGAAACTGTCATGTAATATGTCTTGTCAGGGTTTGGTTCCGTGACTACCACAAGGCCGGGTAACTCACCGCTGTCGCTCCGGAAGCTATTCTGCGGTCCCTCGTCGCTCCTCCAGCGACCTCGCACATGACCGGGTGGTGGAGCCGTCAGCGTATCCGGGACGTAACCCTCGAGAGCACTGCCACCCCTCGGGCTGCTACCTGGTGTTCTGCCGTACGTGGCAGTGCTGCTACCAGAGCTGCCGGTTCTATGACGATGGCCATGCTGCTGCTGCTGCCGCTGTTGCTGCTGCTGTCTATCCCTCTCAAGCTGGTCCTTCTTGTACCAAGTTGGCAGGCCATGGAACAGACCCAGTGACATCTGCGTCTCGTGGTCGAGCGGCATCTCATGCTTGTACCGGCAGCCCTGCTGCGTGAAGGCGCAGACACCCTCATGCACCCACTTGTCGCAGTATATCTTGGGTCTCTTTCGGTTCCGGGGACCGGTAATGGTGGTCGAGGTCGGTTCCTGGAATCAGCAACGGTCAACATTCTCCCTCCCATCACGGTCCCTCTCACGATGAGAACGCATGCTCATCACCTCTCGGGCAAGACTGATGGAGAATCATACCTTGATGGTGATGCACCGGTTTGTGTCGGCCACACCGGGCGGCGGTGCGGCGGTGGCTTCCGAAAGGACGTCCATGTCAGGTCTCCTGGCCTCCTGTGCAGCAATTCCATTCAGCGGGGGGAGCATATCGGCTGGTATGAGTCGCGTCACTATTCCCCGCCCCCTGTCCATGAAGTAGCCGTACCTGCCGCCGCGGAGGTTGAGCAGCTTGACTTGGGCCGAAGTAGGCGGAAAGGTCGTGTAGCCAGCGCCGGCGTTGCTCGTGTTCCAGCTCAGTAGCTTGGACTGGTCAACGGACGAAGATGAAAGCGGAGGAGGCACTGAACCGGTGGAAGTGACGGCGGACCTATTCCAGGATCTATCCCAGGATATTGGTACTGCCTCTCTCCTGGTGCCGCCCAAGGTGTTGTAGGCGGTGCCGCCACCGACCTGGTGGTGGTATGACTGCTGCCATTTCCAACCATGATCGAGGCTCTGCTGACCTCTGTAGTGACCTTGCAAAGAAGTCATCTGTGCTTCCCGTCTTGTCCCTTTTCCTTTCTCCCCTGGTCCGATCGGAGTGAGTCGTACTTGTAAGTAGTGGTACTATAGATCTGATAGAAGTTGATCAGGAGTAGTTGGTCGATGACGATGAGAAGGGGAACGAAAAGGAACGAGAAGAGATATGACAGTGCATTTCTCTTTTCGATCTGAGCAGAGACGGCAAAGAATATGTTATCAAGTTGATGAAGAAGGTAAAAGAAGGGGTCGGGGGTAAGAGGGAAGAGAAAATTATAAAACTAAATGAAAAGGTCACTCCCATTTTCTGTCAAAGCAAACAGATACCTGTTGCCGTCATCATCTCCGGTTCCCAGCATGGAACCGGCCAACAAGCACAACAGAAGATTGCCACACCCAACACGACCATTATATGGATTCGCCATCATTCCACACCTGACCGTCCTAGTCCCTGTCCTTACCGTTTGTCCTTCCCCTGAAAGAGGCGTAAATATCCATCATGTTGGACGAGGCGGCAAGCTGCAGAAGCTGGAAAAGGTGCAATTAATTCACTGCGGTGGTCGTCATGACAAAAAAGATTGTATCGGTATCGGTGGTTTTTCTTCTTCTTCTTTTATGTGCGTGTGTTCAACACGAGCATGATGAGCAAGATGGTATGTAAACATGAAGAAGGGAATGATGAGTTTCTAGCTGCCGCGGAAGAAAAATGAAACCTCCCCCCCCCCCCCCCCCCCCTCCCAATTTGTGATGTGTGAATGTGTTCCTTGCTACTCCAACAACCTCCAAACTCCTGATAAGTAATTTTCGGTTATCCTCTGACCAATTCTAGATGACAGAGGGTGACGATAAAAAGAAAAAGGAAAAATATGAAGGAGACCAAGGGAAGAAAAAAAAAAGAAGAAAAAAAGAAAAAAAAAGAAGAAAAAAAAAGAGGGCCCAGGCTATAACCCTCGCGGTCGTGAAGAGAATTTGGTGGCATGTAGTGTATGCAGCAGTATGGATATTTGAACCTGCATATTCGCTGCAGTCTGCCCCGAGCGACGAATGTGGTCGATAGCAAGTCGTATCTGAGCTTCCGTGTAATTCTCCATGATGGATGTCATGTCAATGGGGGGCGAGAACGACGAAGGAGGATGGTTGGGCGCGGACGCAGGCGCAGGGCCGCCGGATCTAATCACCACGTCGCCGTGGGGGTAGTTGGGGGGGATGTGGGCGTGGACAGCATATGTCTGTTCTCCGGTGGCGGCGGCGGCGGCGGCGGCGGAGTTGAAGCTGGCGTTGGGGTAATAGCCCGTGTCTTCTTGGGGGTGGGGGTGGGAGTTGCGAGGCTCTTGACCGGCAAGGCCGGTGAGCTCTTCGAGTCCGGCATCTGTGTTGTATGGCTGTTAACTGTCTTCTTTCTCTTGGGGGTCATGGCCTTGGCTGGCTGAGTCTTGGCTGGCCGAGTCTTCTTGATTGCCTCTGCTGCAGCAGTTGTAACATTGCCAGCATGGGTAGACGCAGCACCAGCACGGGACTTGAAGGGTTTGGTGGTGGTTGTGGTGACAGCCTTGCGGCCTTTACCTTTGTAACCGGCTCCGGACACTGCAACTGCTGATCCTTGTCCATAGTCGTCGCTGTTGTTTCCCGAGTACTCGTCGGAATCGGTTGAGTCGTCGTCGGGGTCGATATTTTCTGCCTGTGCTGCGGCTCGTGCTGCCGTGGACTTGTAGCTACCGGTGGCCTGATGGTGCGGTGTCGCGTCAGTATCCGGGCTTTCAGGGAAGAAGACCAGGGGAGAGAGGATGAGGTGGAACTGACCAGTCGCCGGCGACCTCCACGTCCCAGAATCTCCCTGTGAGCTTCCGCCTCCTTGCGTGCTTCTTCCTCTCGCTGAGCTAGGATACGGTCCCACACGCTGGTGCTGATCACGGGTGCGGGGGCCTCTTCTTCCTCGCCAGCGCCGCCGCCGAGGCTGTCTTCGAGTCCGGCCTTGTCGTTGGACCAGACTTTGGCGTAGGAGAAATGCGCGGCGGCATCGCCAGAGGCAGCTTCTCCGTCCGTCTTCTCCTGCTCCACCTGGGAGCGGTCGAGGAGCCTGTCGACGGAGGCGGAGTCGTACTTGATCTCCTTCTTCTCGTAGCCGTCGTCAAAGAGGGCCTGGGCTCCGTGCCTGAGGATGGACTCCAGGTCGTCTCCGGCGATGTCCTCGTCGTCCATGCTCTCGATGAGGGCATGGTCGAGGGCCATCTTCTTGCGGCCGAGTTGCATGATACGCTCCTCGACCGAATCCTTGGTCACGAGCTGGAAGCAGAGTACCGTGTGCTTCTGGCCGATGCGGTGGGCGCGCGACAGGGCTTGCATGTCCTGATGCGGGTTGTGGTCCGGGTCCATGATGATGACGGTGTCGGCCGTGGCGAGGTTGATTCCCACACCGCCGGACCGGGTGGACAGGAGGAAGGCGAAGATGTCGGAGTCGGGGGCGTTGAAGGCGTCGATGCGTCTCTGCTTCTCCAGGCTGGAGATTTGACCGTCCAGCCGGCGGAATTCGTAACCCAAGCCGGTGAGGAAATCCTCGACGATGTCGAGCTGCTTTAGGAACTGGCTGAAGATGAGGACGCGGTGGCCGCGCTCCTTGAGCTTGGGAAGCATAAGCTCCATGAGGATGAGCTTGGACGACGCCTCGACCAGGTTGCGGAAGAGAGCCGACTGGTCATGGTGGCGCTCCTCGATGGCGTCCGAGTAGACAAATGGGTGGCAGAGGCACTTGCGCAGCTGCATGAGGATGTTGTTGAGGCTGCCGCGGTCCGTCTTCTTCATCTTGCCGTGGGCGAACATGGACTTGATCAGCTGCGGGTTCTTGGCCATGATGCTCTTGGACAGCTTCTCCTGGAGCACCGTCATGGTGACTGGCAGGATAATCTGCGCCATCGGTGGCAGGAACTTGAGCACGCCCGCCTTTGTGCGGCGGAGAAAGTAGGGGCGAATCTTGTCGTGGAGCTTCGGCAGTGTCTCCCTGTCCAGAACCCCGTACTCGAGGTCGAGCCTGGATGCGACTTGCGTGTCGTCGATGAACTGGAGCAGGTTGAACAGTTCACGCTTATTGTTCTGAAGCGGCGTACCCGTCAACAGGAGCCGAAAGGGCACCTTCATCGACCGAAGAGCGCCGTAGAGGATGTTCTGGTCGTTCTTGAGGCGCTGGCCCTCGTCGACGACCAGACCCACCCAGTGGACATTCTTGAACAGTGTCTTGGTCTGCGGATCGGCGGCCGAGTCGTACGACATGATGACGACGTGGGCCCTCATCTCGGTCGATCCGTGAGGGAACAGCTCGTACTTGTATGCCAGCTCCTGCGAGACCCTTCCACCGTGGTACGTGACGACACGCAGGCCGGGAACCCACTGCTTGAACTCTCGGCGCCAATTGGGGCAGGTCGCGTTGGGCACGACGATGAGAAAAGGCCAGCATCTCGGCGAGTCCTGCACCAGCGAAGCAACCAGACCGATGACCTGCACGGTCTTGCCGAGACCCATCTCGTCAGCCAGGACGACGCTTCTGCCGTGGTGGTAATTTTCCAGGAGCCAGTTGAGGCCTTCGACCTGGTATCCCATGAGCTTGCCGCGCGAGAGGCCAGCAGGCTGGCCCTCGACTCCCCGGAACTCAGAGTTCTTGTAACCCTCGATGCGATCACGAATCTTGGCCTTCGACTCAACGTTGAAGTACTTGCCCTCCAGGTAGTCGTAGAAAGCCTCGAGGAACGCACCGTAGATGTCCTTGCCCAGAGCCTCGGTGGGGGGCGAGTCCCAGACGACGTCATCGTAGCCGAGACCTTGATACTTGACAAGGACGCTCTGGATGCGGGACATGTCGGCCAGCTCGTCCGCCTTGGTCTTGGGCTTGGGCGCGGACGAGTCTAATTTGACACTGAGGATGACGTCCGGCATGAGGTACTCGTCGGGGATGGCGTCCTTTTCCGAGTACCTCAGCAGACCCATTTCGATATCCCGCTTCGCAAACGCATTGCGCATCGTGGCGGCCGTGGTGCCGAATATCCAGGCACCCGGCTTCCAAGCGCAGTGGAGATAGGACCGATTCTCCCACTTGACCAGATACTCCTTCTCGTCTTCGTCGACGTCGGCGGCGTATCGCATCGCTGACTGGGAGGATGCAACCGCTCTGGGCTCACCCCTTTTCCCGACTGGCCTCCACGCAATCAGCTTGTGGACCTTTTGCTTCGCTGACGCGCAGTCATTGCACCTCCAATCGATGGAATAGTCCTCGAGACGCCCGGACCTAGTATCGGCAGAGGAGGAGGGGTCGGTGGGCTTTCCGCCGATGGGAGGCAAGTGTTCAACGTGCCATGCTCGATGGCAGTTGGTGCACCGAAACAGCACCAGGTCAGCGTTGCCGACGAGTTCCTTGGGCACTGGCGTGATGGGGTCGACGCCGTCATTCTGCTCACGGAGCTTCTCCTCCTGTCTGGATGACTTCTTTTGAGAGAAGGCTGCACAGGCCTTACCTGGACCGCGACAGCTCTGACACATGTCGTACCTCGGGGCAGTCGCCTGCCTCTTCGCGTACGTCCCTATGCAGTACCTGCACTGCAGGACGAAGGACTGCTCCCCGACCTTGGTCACCATGTGCTCTCGCCCGCTCCGATATCCGAGGCAATTCTTGTGGAATGTGAGGCTGCATCCCTGGCAGTAGACGAGTTGGCCCCGCCTGGCCGAGCCGTCACACGCGTGGCAGGTATCTGTGTGGGCGGCACCGAATGGCGACTGAGGGTCGACGGGCTGGAACACCTCCTTGATAGATATGACCTTGGGCACGGCGGGCGATCTATCTTCGGCTGCGTAGAGCAGCTCCTCGCCCAGGCCGTCATCATCTCCCATGTCGAGCTGGTTTCTGGTAGACCTGACGGAACGACGGGGTGCCTCAAACTCGATGTCCGAATCTGATGATTTCCGCCGTAGCTTGGAACCAGGTGCTGGTAGGTGTGTGGCCGACCGCCGAGCCTTGATCCGTGGTTTCCTGGGACCAGAAATGTCCGAGGTGACGAAGGCGACGAAGTTGTCATCGTCTCCCGAGTCCCGGTTGTCCGCCTCCACAGCAGGAGCCGGGTTACGAACACGGGTGCTCCGGCGGCGGGCATGATCGGTCTCAGCAGCATGGTTCGAGGCAACGGACTGGCTACGCGAGGTCTGCTGCGTGGCAGCAGCCCTTGGGCGTAGCTGTCTCTTGGCTGCGGGGCGGGTTGGCCGGCGTGGGGCTACATCATCCTCACCATCCCCATCATCGTCATCGAGGCTATCTGACGAGGACTCTTCTTGGCCGGTCGAGAAGTCATCGGTATCATCAGATTTGCGTTTCCGCTTGCCCGGGTGATGATAGTCCTCCAGAGCGTTCTTGGCGTTGCGATGGTTCCATAATTCGGCGTGCGTGAGCTTCAGGCGGATTAGCGGCCGCATCACGGTAGGGCTCGCACTGGGGTGGTGGGTGCTCTGGCGGGGAGGAGAGATGGGAAATGAACGATGGGGTGGTGGAATATGCGAGGAAGAAAGGGTGACAAGAGCACTATAGTCAACCTGGCAAGAACTTGGTCTCGTGGCTGCACGAGGGCGGCGAGTTCACTCGGCAGCAAAAAGAAAAAGAAAACAGGAAAGAAAGGAAGAGAGTGAGTGTGAGGTGAGAAGACGGAGATGGTGAGAGATTCAACGTGGCAAGGCGAAGGAGAGTGAACAAAGGCAACGGGTGGCTGAGATCCGAGCCTCTGGGCTGGAACCCGATGGAAGCGAACAGCAGTCCAGAGAGCCACCGTGAATATAGACAGAGGAGAAGGGGCAGATTTATGTCGAGAAGGAGGGGAGTAGCCTACCTGGGCCTCTCTGCCGTCGGCGAACTCGACGTGGTAGCGCTCCTCCTGATCTCGGTCCGCCGTGTATCGTCGCAGGACGGAGCCGATGGTTTCATCCCGCGCCTCTTCGTACTCTGACCGCCTTGCCTCTGAGATGGCCGGTATCCTGACTTCGAGGTTTGTGGGGATTCTCGGGCCAGCGTCCACGAGAGCGTCGTCTGCGGGGGTTGCCGTGCGCCATCCCTCCTCTCGCTCCTTCTCCTCCGGCGCAGCGTCGAGAGCACGAGATTGACTGCCATGTAATACGTCCGAGCCGTCGCCGTTGCGCATACCTTGGTATACCATGTCCGGGCCTGGGGGCATGTCGGAGTCTGGGGGCTTGTCGGGCAGTGCCGCAAAGTCGAAGCCGATGCTTGGGGCGCAGAAGCCACACGACGAGGTTGGGGTGTGCGGAGGGGGATCATGCCCCGGGACGGCGCGCGCGGGATTGAGGACGTATCCAATAGCTGGAGAGCTACGGTGAGTGCCCTGCGTCGAGAGGGCAAGTGTGGCTTGACGGAGATCCGAGCTTCTGGGAGAGGTCGAGCTCCCCAAAGGTCCGTCGCGTGAGGCTTGTCGTGAGGCTTGAAGCCGACGTCCCTCCGATACAGTAGCGCGTCGTCGGTTTGCGGTTGAACCCATTCATTTCACTGATTCTGAGAGATGGCCGAGAAAAGTGGGTCGACATTTTCATCAAGAATTCAACGGTCGGTCCTGTGTTCCTCTCTGGCCTCTCACTATTTATTGACTATCGTAGCATTGTATGTATCCGTACACCACCAACATATATGATACTATCGAATGTTCATGCTGCAGATGCGAGGATAACTCTGGTTATAATACTTCGATGTGATAAAGATTGTCATATTAGTAAGCTACCCGTATCAGCATATAATGTATGTGCTCGGACGACTACGACGTAGTCATTACGGCGTAATGATACTTCAGACACGACATGTTTGCAATTCACACGGGCCACCCTCATATTATGCAACAGCCCTCGTCGCAGTAGCGATACGTCGTCTCATCAAGGGTAAACGTCCTCCTCGTCGTCGTGTCTAGTCACGGCCGTCCCCCACCTGCCAACCGTCGCGACTCTCCTCCTCCTGTCTCTCCTCGACGTATCCGCAACTACAGCTGTATTCCCTGGAGCTCCTTTTCCGTCCAGTCCCATAGTTTCCTTGCTAGGTCGTCGTCCCTGGCGCATGCGCTGCCCAGCCCGGCACGGCCGACGGGCTCGTAGTACTCTCCGCTCTGGACATCCTTCGATACCGATGCCCACAATTGATTCCTGGCGCCGTGTGTGGCTGACGAGACGATCCAGGGGCCGATGACGTTGACCAAGGTCCGGACGAGCGCCGACGTACCGTCCGCCTTGGTCATGAGCTGTGTCTGCACCAGGCCCGGGTGGACGGCGGAGACGGTGAGCTGCGGGTACTGCTTGGCCAGCTGCCGGGCCCAGAGCGCATTGGCCAGCTTGCTCTCGCCGTACCGCCCAAAGCAGCCGAGCTCGTCGGCCGTCGTCTTCATCAGATGCCAGTGCGGCACGCCCCTGAACAGATGCGCGTGGCCCCTGGACGATAGCGACACCACCCGCACGTCGGCCCCCGGTTCCTCGGCTGTCCGCCGTAGCAGCGGCATCAGGAGCTTGCACAGCAGGGCATGGCCCATGTGGTTGGTGCCGAACTGCATCTCGTACCCGTCCTCGGTGAGTCCCGGTGGCAGCGCCATGGCACCGGCGTTGAGCATGAGGATATCCAGCCGGTCGGTTTCGGCGAGGACCCGGCTTGCCGCCTTCTTGACCGAGGCGAATCTTGACAGGTCGAGCTCCAGGACCTTGATCGGCGGTGCGTCGTCAATCTGCTGCTCGACCTCAGATGCTACCTCCTCGCCCTTGGTGGCGCTGCGGCATGCAAGCCATATCTCGCGGGGTCGGTGCCGCGCAAACTCGAGAGCAGCTTCCTTGCCCAGCCCGGCATTGCCTCCCGTCACTATGATGACTTTGCCTGTGAGGGGAGGGATGTCGGTGGTCGGGTTGAATGTTGAAGAGTCGCCGAAGAACATGGCGGAGGGCTGGGATGCTGTGGCGGGCAGTAAGGAAGATGTCCCGCGGCTGGTTCTTCCCAGGTAGAGTGGGTGGCGGGTATGAAGTAAGATGATGGCAAGTCCGGAGGAATATACAGAGTAGCAGGAAGAGGCCGTACAGTGATCAGCGTCCAAGGTGTTGTGCTCAAAGGGTTGTCGCCTGGTCTATACTTTCTGGGGATGTGGGGGTAGGGACCCTTTTTATACAAGCCGAGGTGTAGACGGCGGCTGCCACGTATCCATCTCTAAGCTGAAGGCTGGTAACAGTCTCGAAGCCTTCCATGGACCGTGCCGATGATGCGTATCATGCGGTCTGTCCCGACTTCCGACAGGCTTCCGAGACCTCAGCTCCTAGTACGTGCACCTTTTACTCCGTGCTGCCATAGAGAGGGGTCGAACCCCGAGTCTGGAGACACGACGTTAGGAGCATCACCATTCCCAAACTGGCAATCTGTATGGTCTTGGCAGCGGAGCTGGATCTCCCGGTGCAGTAGCTACCCGGACTGATATCGGCGCCACGGATCGAGTCTGAGGATGTATTCTCGGTATGTACAGATTACAAATACTCACGTATTCGCTCCGATCGCAACGCTGTTTTCGAACACGAGGATCATTGCTCGCCCTTGGAAGGAGCACACATCATATCGCTGATAACTACTCGTACATGTACTCGTATGCAATCGGTACCTACACCATGATGGGATGCTATGTCAATGCGTCAGCGTATCCACAGAGGCAGAGGTGGAAGAACGGAGACCCTATGCTCGTATGTAATACGTATTACAAGTGCAGGTTCCCGGGCGCGTACGAGCTGGAACACCACTGACAGTCTATCGGTGCCTGCAGCGCTGTAGGCCTATTAACCCAGCCCGGAGCCCGCTGGCTGGGATGATCGGCCTAAGCCATTGATACCTGTATTGTAACACTCGTGCATATATCCGTACCCGTACACGTACGTAATATGTAGGGGCAGCAGGCCATCAGGTCGGTCACCAGCCAGGGGGGCTCCCCACTTAATTTACTGCAGGGTCAATGGTAACGGAGACAGCTGCGGAAAAAAAATAATAATAATAGAAATCAACCAGAGGCGGGAGAGAACATCTGAAGGAGGTCCTCATCCATCTACACCATGATCCGCTCGTTACCTTTTCGGACAGTCGGTCTGAGCCGGAATGCACCGGGGCGTGTCATCGCCCCGCGCCTCCTGGACAGCATCGCCGCGCCCGGCCTGACCCGATCCTCGAGCCTGTCAGCCATCCATCGTGGTCTTCGCCGATCCGACCGAGCCCAGCACGGGAGTGGCTCGAGAGGAGGAGGAGATGGTGGTGGTGCGTCGCCGCCGCCGCCGTCGCGGGGACGTACCGGTAGCAGAGATGGCAGGCACCGCACCGAGAGGGCCCTGGAGGGCGCTGGGTCCAAGCGGCAGCAGGACAGGCTGCTGCGCAAGCTCCGCCGCAAGCAAGAGGAGGACGAGGAGGGCACAGGCAAGATGACGAGGCGGAAACGCTTCGCGGATCCGACGACGGACTTTGGCAAGAGGAGCCTCGTATACCACCTCAAGCACGGTGACCTGAAGGATCTGGCGGGAAAGATTGACGACCCCGTGAGTCCCAGATCGCCCCTGGACAACAGGCGCAAGGACTGGGCGATCCGCGATGCCATCGCCGGCCGCACGCCGCTTCCGACCAAGGAGCAGCAGCAGCGCCGCCGCGCCGGTGGCCGCCGAGACGACAGCGGCACGGCTGCACCCCGTGATAGGGCCACCTTCTCCAGACGAGACGACGGGAAGGCTACGAGACCAGCGCGCGCCTCCGCCGCCGACGACGACGACGACAACGTCTCGAGACCGGCCCCGCGCCCGCGAAACGGCGGCATGATGCCCCTCACCATCAAGTACACGACGGCAGCGTCGCAGTTCCTGTACGGCCGATCGGTGGTGAAGGCGGCGCTGGAGCAGGCTCGCCGCAAGCTGTACCGGCTGTACATATACGCGGGGGAGTCGCGCATCGAGACGCGGGACATTGCGTCGCTGACGACGCTGGCACGCAAGCACGGCGTGCCCGTGACCATGGTCCCCAACGAGGACCAGCGGCTGATGGACAAGATGAGCACGGGGCGGCCGCACAACGGCTTCGTGCTCGAGGCCTCGCCGCTGCCCCAGCTGCCCGTCACGTCGCTGGGAGCGGTGGAGGAGGCGCCGGGCAGGCCGCTTGGCTTTCACGTCGAGCTGGGCCACCAGTCGCGCGAGGAGGCCGACGTCAACGGCACGGAGGCCTTCATCCCCCGCCGCCCGTCCACCAGCCGGTCAGGCCGCCCGCTGGTGCTCCTGCTTAACGAGATCGTCGACCCGGGCAACCTGGGTGCCATGCTCCGCACGGCGAGCTACTTTGGCGTGGACGCCGTGGGCGTGACGGACCGCAACTCGTCGACCCTCACGCCCGTCGTGCTGAAGTCGGCGGCCGGTGCCGTCGAGGAGGTCTCCATCTTCACCGTCGACTCGGCCGTCAGGTTCCTCGAGGAGTCGCGCCGGGCCGGGTGGAGGTCGTTCGCCGCCGTGGCGCCGCCGAGCAGGAAGCTCACGTCCATGCATGCGGGCAAGTTTGTCTCCACCGGCGACATCGAGAAGGAGAACCCCCTCGCTGAGAGCCCCTGCATCCTCGTCCTCGGCAACGAAGGCTTCGGCCTGCCCAAGCAGGTCAAGATGGCAGCCGACCACGAGCTGTCAGTGCCGCGGTTCGTCCACGACAGCTGCGTCGACAGCCTGAATGTCAGCGTCGCCGCCGGCTTGCTCTGCAACGCTTTCGTCAAGGAACCCCCTGCCATTCGGGGGCCTCAGCTGGCTAGACGCCAGGAGAAGGCTGAGGAGACTGAGGAGAAGGGGCAGGACGCCATGTTTTGATGATCAAGATGGCCAACTTGGCGAGTGCTTGCAGTGTACGATAGGGCGGCTGCATCCTTGTAGAGCAGAGGGGGGACATGACTTGCATACGAGTGTAACATAGACTTGTAATTTTACCAATAAAATGCATACAGAAATCCTTTTTTTTTGGCCAAGCACCCTTTCGATGATTGTTCTGCCCCGTCCATGATTTTGGAGACTTTAGCGTCTGAACGATGTGGCCGTTTGGACGTGTAGACTGTCCGGAGTGTACGTGTTGCCTATTCGGGACGAGACATCATATCCAAGAGGGGTGACTCTCAAACGGCGTGTCTCCTTTTGAGTATATTTGATGCAGTTCTTCATATTGGACGGAGAGGTGACGATTTCATCTCTTCTCCTTTTCTCGAATCTGAATCTGTCTGATCGGTAGTTGTGGTACAAGTAATAATACTCGTGTCCGTCATCAGTCCAATGACCCCCCCCCCCCCCCCCCCCCCCCCCCCCCCCCCCCCCCCCCCCCCCCCCCCCCCCCCCCCCCCCCCCCCCGCAAGGTCGTCGACGATGCGTTGCCCAGCCACCCGCCCGTACTTTTGGGGTCCTACACATAAACAAAACAAAAAAGAAAGAAAAAAAAATATTGCCCACTCAGTATTAGCAAGTACGCTGTGACGCACATATCGCAAGTAACCACCGACATTTCAAGGGACCAATCGCCACGTGTAGTCAGTTTGTGCTCTGACAGGGGATACTTCACACACCGTCAATTCTCTCCAAAGGCATTCCGTTCCTCTAAACGCAGGCTCTTTATAAGCACAGAAGCCCGAGCAACTCCCAGCGAAAGAACATCCCACCACCGTCACCACCACCCCACCTCGGCCGACGATCAGCACAGCAAACAGCAAAAGCACAATGGTCTACCCGCGGTCTCTAGAGCTTGTCCTGACCAAGATTCTCGCTCTCATACCCCTAGCAGCAGCAGCGGCGGCGGCAGCAGAATCAGGAAACGCGAGCCCGACAGCCCTACGAAAGTTACCGCCCGATCTGAATGCCAAGCTATTTCCCGAACACCTAGCCTTCATGGCCGTGGCCGTGGACGTGGACGTGGATGCAGAGTCCATGAGCAGCGGCAGCAACATGTCCCTAGCTCTAATGTCCGGACCGAGAATCTACGAACGAGCCTTTGCCGCGCACTTTGACGAGACGCAAGAGGGCGTGCTCCGCCGCGCGGCCGAGGCGCTCAGACTGCTGGAGAAGCGGTCGTCCTGCCCGGCCAACATGAACAGCTGCGCGGACGTGGGCTCGCCGAACAAGTGCTGTCAGGACGGCACGTACTGCACCGACGTTTCGGATACCATGGTGGGACATGTCGCCTGCTGTCCGGAAGGATCGACGTGCGAAGGGGCCGTGAGCCAGTGTCCCTCTTCGGCTGTGAGCTGTCCCGCTAGTCTGGGAGGGGGCTGCTGTCTCGAGGGGTATGAGTGTGTGGGTGCTGGATGTCAGTTTCCCCCTCTTGCCTTCTTCTCTCCCTTCCTCCTTCCTCTTCTTCTTCTTTTGCTTTCTTACTTTCCGCCTCTCGCTGAAAATGTGTATTCGTAATGCTGACAATTGAGGGGGTGGGAGAGGGAAAGGCTGGGCGACAGTGACACAGACATTGACGGCAACGTCCGCGACGACCAGCAAGACGTCAACAGCAGAGACCATCACCACCGAGACCGGGTCGGAGACCGGGTCGGAGCCCGAATCCAGCACCGAGACGACGAAAGAGACCTCGGCCAAGGTGACGGCCACACAGACAGGTGGAATGCCCTTTCGGCCAACCGATACGTCGGGCACAACGTTTGAAAGCACACAGACAGGCTGTAAGTTGTGGAACTAACACACACGCACACACACACACAGAGAGAGAGAGAGAGAGATCTGACTGACTCTATTAGGTCCCACCGGCTTCTACGGCTGCCTAGCCACGCACGGCGGCGGGTGCTGCCGCACCAACCGCGATTGCGAGACCTTCTCGTGCCCCGCCCCGTCGAGCACGACGACCATCACGGGCGCGGGCGTCACCGTCGTGGTCAAGGGGGACACGCTGCCCACGTCAGAGGCCACGGGCACGTGCGCGGGCGGGTGGACCATGTGCGGCGCGTCGGCCGGTCCCACGGCCGGCTGCTGCCCGAGCGGGTACAAGTGCGGGACGGCGAGCTGCTTCTCCGCGCAGGCCAGCCAGACGGAGAGGGTGCAGAAGGAGTTCCCCAAGGATGGGGGGGTGGCACCGCTGGGCGTGGGGAAGAGATGTCTCGCTGCTCTTGTGGTGGTCGGGACACTCGCTTCTCATATTCTGTGATGATGGCTTTTTTTTTTCTCCTCAGCTCTCATTCTTGTACTCTCTTCCCCCCCCCCCTTCATACCTGCATCTGTTTTTGTTACTAGCGTTAGAATATTAGACCCGGCATTGATGAAGAATGAAGTGTATATATATGAATTGTATGCGATTCGCACCATGTACATGTGTGCGCGTGTGCGTTTGTGTGGTATATTCTCTAGATTTTATCTCCCATCTCCCCCCTCCCAAAAAAAAAAAAAAAAAAGGCCAGCTTGTAGTTGCACCAAATTACCCAGTATGCGCCGGCGCTGTCTGCTTTGACCTCTATAAAACATGTAATCTAATAATAAAGGGTAGAGGGTGAGAAACTCTCAAAAGAATTAAAAAGGACAAACGAAAATTGAACTCCACTCCTCGTTCGTCTCTGTGCCGTTTGGGCTGGTGATGACAAGGACATCCCGTGATCCAGAATTTGCTTTTTTTCCTCTATGCAAGTTTTCGTCGCTCAGGTCGAGTTGCGCACGCATGTGTGTGTATGTATATGTATGTGGAAGAGAGTGTGTGTGATGTGTGTGTTACTCGTTGCCATCACCGGCGGCAGAACCGCCCTTTCGCCGCTTCATAAAGTTGGCGAGAGGAATAATGCCCTTCTCGCGCATACTAGGCTCGTACGAACCGTTCTGGGAGGCGGCGGCGGCGGCGGCGGCGGCGTGGCGGTCAGGCTTGCAGCAGCAGCCCATGGCGCTGTGGAGGATGAAGGCCAGGTCGGTGAAGATGGTGGCGAGCCACATGAAGACGAACATCTTGACGCCGATGTCGGCCGAGATGTTGAGCTCATCCTGCGCGGTGAGGGCGATCTTGGCGACGACGGTGATGGCGGTGCTGATGACGGAGGCGACGGTGATGAGGATGGCCGACACAAAGGCCAGCAGGGAGATGGCCAGGGAGAACCAGCGGGTGCGCAGGACCAGCGGGGTCACGAACATGAGGACGAAGTTGACGACGGTGCCGGCCGTGTAGAAGGCGTACATGATGTGAGAGCCCAGGCGGAGGAGCTTCAGGATGGTCGTCACCTCGGACGGCAGGGCAATACTAGCGCCGGCCAGGAGCTCGCTCACGAGAACCTCGACTGGGTTGAACCAGAACCAGCTCTTTGGCTTGGAGCAGTAGGTTACACCTCTGTTGTGGGACGTGATCAGCATGCGTGCTCATGTATCGTACATGTACGTATCGTCATATTCACACAAATATATATATATATATGTATATATATATTTGTACAGTATATATACGTAGGATGGATGGGATAGGATGGGAATTGTTTTTTTTTCCCTTTTTTTTCAGAGAGAGATCCAAGGTATATGTAAACTTACTCTCCCAGGTAACCCTCGCAAAAGGACCATAGTCCGACAGAGTAGAAGTCATGGAGACCTAGGCTTCGCGCGACAGAGTTGAGAAGATTCGAGTTGGAGACGGAGATGGGGATGATCTGGGAGACATCGAGCTTGAAGAAGTAGATCGAGTTGAGGGTGCCGTTGACGTAGGTGTTACCGATCGAGACGAGGATGAGGAACGGCAGGCTGAGGAGGTAGAAGGCGGCGGCGACGTAAGTTGTGTTTCGTCTGTGAATAGGAGCGGCGACCATGGCTGAAGACGGCAGTGGCAGCCCCTGGGGAAGAGGAGGAGGGGGGGGAGGAAGGGGAGGAAGTTCGGTTGACGGCGACCCAGAGCAGAGAAGGTAAAAGAATACAGATGAAAAAGAAGAAGAAAAAAAAGAGAAGGAGGGGGGAGGTCAGAGGGAACGAGGGGAGAGGGTAACCCTCTTTAGCCGTGTACCGCACCACGGTCCCGAGTGCTAGTAGGAATATAGTATTCAGTGCTCAGGCTCAGGCTCAGACGGTAGCTCTCGTACTAGTAATGGTAATACTGAATATTCTCGGTGGTCGGGCTGAGCTGAGGAGCTTGACTGGGGTAAAGGTCCAGGTGGAAGAGGATGGGAGAAGGAAGGTGGGATGTTAGATTATGCTGTTGGGGCGAAGTTTGGGGGGTTCGCATAGGCAGAGAGGTTTTGCTTTGCGGTGCAGGCATGTGCCATGTGCACGGAGGCTTTGGGGAGGCTCTGGGAGGGTCAGACGTCACCGGCTGCAGGCTTGCTGGCACCTGCTGGCACCTGCTGGCACTCTGCTGCCGCTTTGCTGCCGCTTGCCGCAAAGCCAAGAGTCAGGGAAGGAAAAGGGTGTGTGTGGTGGGACTGTGGAGCGTCTGTCCCTATCTGTGCATGGACGTAGTACCCACTCATCACCCGCTACCATCACACCCTGGTCATTACGGCAGTAGAAGCAAAAGACAAGGGTCATATCGTCAGGATGCATCATGGACTGACTGTACGAATGATTTGAACATGGTCGTGATGTGTTTTTTTCTTGTTCCCTCCCCCCTTCCCTTTATGGAGAAGATGTTCACTCGCAGGATCAAGTGTCTTCCACATACTGGTTCACGGGTAAGGGTCAGAGGAGCAGGGACGTCGATTATCATCTTACAAAGGTGGACCGGTGCTTGTATGATGATGATATCCTTGTTCCCTTGCATTGAAGACCGGAAAAGTTGGGGGGAAGGGGGGGAGCAGGGTCCCGATCAGAGGCTTGATCCTCATCAACGTCAGCATCAGACTCTGTCTTCACTCTGTCAGCGAAAGATGGAGATGAATCACACACACGATTCCTTGGTGAGTAAACATTTCAATACAAGCGCCGCACAAGTAGGAAGCTTCCCATAGCCGCCCTCGGCGTTGGAGGTCAATGTATCAGGTTTTCATGCATACCATGTAATCTGTGTTGCTCCGTATCGTACTCGTAATCTACGAGTGCTCGGTCAACCAAAACCCCCTTTTACTCGTACCCATCATAAGACCCATGCGCATGGGGCAATGAACTTCGATACCAAGCTTTTTTTTCTTCTCCTCCTTCTCCTCCTCCCTCTACCTCCTCTCATCTGCTCCTCTCCGATACGCTCTATTCCGATGCGGAGAAGTACTCCGTACTCCGTAGCCGACCGTATCAGGTCAATACCAGGGCTGGTGTTACCCGTGCTACCCGTACTGCTGCGCGTACTGCCCGTATTAGCAGCCGCATCGGCTGGGCCCCGTTGGTGGCAATCTGTGGTCCTTGTGGATCAGGATTGAAGTCTTGCAAGTTGCCACGGATGCATAGTTACGTTGGTGTTACGGAAGAGGAGAGAGAAATGCGCACACATTCTCAATGAGATCTTCTGCCGATCTTGCCAATTCATACCGTCCGTAGTTCTGTGGAGAGCAGCCATGCACGCACGCTGTGCGAGGCCGCGAGCTTGCGAGGTTCCACCGATCCCTGATTACGGCTCTACAGGTAATGCACGTATTATCATGATGTATTATTATTATGATGTATTATTATCATGATGTACTATTCATCATGATGTATTATTTATTATTATGGATTATTAGTATTGCTGGGACCACGACCATGACGGTAATCTGTCATGGTACGGGAGTAATGATACCTGCACTGCAGTATGAATATCAGTGCCTGTACGGAGTCCAGATTATATGTGGGAATATCACTGCATCGTTACGGATAGAGCAGAGAACCAGAATAGACGATTGTTCAGCAGGAACGGCCAAGATCAAGATGCAGCATGAACGTGAATCGTGGTGTTTACTCCGTACGAGAGCTAGAGATGTCGATATCTGTATTACACCATTCATGTGCCATCATCACCGTCCCACTCGCACTCGCCGCATACGCGTCCTCTTCCCCTCCCCATACTCGTAGCGCCGTACAGTAGCGCCAGGCAGTAGCGCCAGGCAGTATTGATATCCGAGGAGGCGAGGCCAGGCCAGAAGTCGGGACCGGCATGTCATTTATGAGATTTCACGGATCGAGGACTCTGCAACGCCGTGGCTTGGGTATGTTGACGGCGTCTAAGCGCATGTGTGTGTGTGTGTGTGTGTCTTTTTTACGCATCTATTCGCTATCAAGACTCGTGTCGGACTCAGTCGAAGGCTCGGGCTGTACGAGCATCGCGAGCGTTACTTCTCTGCATAGAGATGCCTGGCGACCTGCGAGGCTCGGGAATGGCCAGTTACGGCTCACCGGCGGTTACGGGAAATATTGCTGCCGGCAGTACTGCCAATAGCACAGATCTGTACTGCCGGCAGCGATACTTGACCTCGTGAAAGGTGTCGACGCACGAGTACTACCAGGTGGCCGTCATCGAATGATGATGACGATATCAACGGCCCATGCTGACTCGTATGAGCAGACTACCCAACTGCTCGTACATATACGGAGTATGATATCGCATCATGTCTGTACGGTAACTCTGCTAGCAATAGAGAGTACAGCAATACCATCCGCACACGTGTACATGTACTCGTACATCTATCTGTGCTGCAGTAATCGATATTCAGCCAGTGAACATGAATGAAGATGGAGCCATTGACTTCTCAGCTCCCACTCCCCCTTCCGTGGCCTGTGCCGTGACCAGGCTCTCCCCCCCCTGTCTCACAGTCGGCATATCCCCTTTCTCACACAGTGAGATTTCAGGGCATGCCGTCATAGGATGCACATCGTCTCCACTGACAGCCGCAAGTTGTGCTCACCTCGGTTTGTATGGATTAATGAGGTGAGAGGGGGTGGAAAAATTTACGAGAATGAAAAAAATTACAAATTAAAAAAAACTTTGCTCCGTACCATGTTCCGGTGATACGATACGCCGTATCTGCCAGGGTGCTAATGTCTGTAGTGATATTAACACGTCTATCTCTCTCTGCCTGTACGCGCTTCCATCGACAAGTCAACGACCGAATACTCCGTACCTGCTCCATCACATGTACATAACCTGCCTCCACAATGTCACAGGCAGATTGGGTTCCAATACGTCGTAATTACTCTGTCGGTACTATACTACGAGTGTCGTATCACCCCTCCCCGGTCCTCTTACTCCCTCTCCTCTCTTTTACCGCCCATTTTTATCATTGCTACATCAAACAAACATAGAAGAAAACAAACGGGGACAAGTGGGCAGAGAGAAAGCCGTCGTCCCTCCTTCTCATGATATCCTCACTCGGACATCTCAACCCCACCCCCCCCCCCTCCCTCTCTCTCTCTCTCGGATCTCCCCGCCTCCCCTCCCGACCATCTGTGTACCGCTACCGGAGAAGACAGACGCCATGCGGTCCGCTACGGCACTGCTCTGGGCCGCAGGCAGCCTGCTCCCCCAGCTCGCCGTAGCCCAGACCGAGCCCACCGTCGACTACTCTGCCACATCATCCCTCCACTTCTACACCGGAACCAAGACGGCCGAGACGACGAAGAACACAGAGGTGCCCTCGGGGGCCTACACGACCTACACCTCCAAGATCGCCCTGAGCAATGGCGATGACAGCACCGCCACCGGCACCACCGACGACGATCCGTCGACGACGACGTCCCTGACCGCCAGCGTCTCGTCGTCGTCGACCGCGACGACGACCGGCAACGGGACCGTCACGTCCGGCGTGCCCGCGCCCACCAACACTCAGCCGTGCAACAGGTACGTCGAGCTGTGCAGCCGCAAGTACAGCAACGTCAGCAACGTCGGCTGCCACAACTCCCCCTTCGTGCGCCCCGGAAACTCGGGCTCCAACCAGGAGCTCTCCGTCACCACCCAGCTCAACGACGGCGTCCGCTTCCTGCAGGCCCAGATCCAGTGGCCCACCAACGGCACCGAGCCTCACTTCTGCCACACGTCGTGCGACCTGCTCGACGCCGGCCCCATCAACGACTGGCTGAGCCTGGTGGCCGACTGGGTCAGCAAGCACCCGTACGACGTCGTCACCATCCTCCTGGGCAACGGCAACTACTCCACCCCCGACTACTACGCCCCCTACATCCAGAAGTCCGGCATCCTCAAGCACGCCTACGAGGCTCCCTACCTCCCCATGTCGCTCGACGACTGGCCCACGCTCGAGGAGATGATCGTCCGCGGCAAGCGCGTCGTCATGTTCATGGACTACAAGGCCAACCAGACGGCCTACCCCTGGCTCCACGACCAGTTCGCCCACATGTGGGAGACCCCCTTCGACCCGACCGACCGCGCCTTCCCCTGCACCGCCCAGCGCCCTCCCGACCTGTCCGCCGAGTCGACGCGTAACAGCATGTACCTCATCAACCACAATCTCAACGTCGAGTTCAACGTCTTCTCCACCTCGCTCCTCGTCCCCGCCGTCTCCCTCCTCAACGAGACCAACGCCGACTCGGGCTACGGCAGCCTGGGCCTCGCCGCCAACAACTGCCGCTCCGACTGGGGACGCAACCCCACCTTCCTCAACGTCGACTACTACAACTACGGCAACCGTCCTGGTTCGGTATTCGAGGTCGCCGCCAGGCTCAACAACGTCACCTACGACTGGAACTGCTGCGGTAAGGTCAGCGGTGCTCCCGCCATGGCTCGCGTCGCCCCGCTGGCTACCATCGTCGTGCCCGCTGCTCTGACTGCTCTGCTCCTCATATAGGGAGACTCGTCCTTCCCCCTTCTCTCTCTCTCTACTTTCGTGTTGCACACTTTCTTTCTCTGCACCTTGGTTGTGAAGCGGTGTTGAGTAATTGTTTTCCTGGTTCTATCATCGACCCTTCTACATACTATGCTTCGATGTTCCGCAACCCACATGGTTGGAGCTTTCGGGAAGACGAGAGAAGAAAAAAACAAGGCGTTGGGGAGTATATATCATTATGGTGATCATTACCGGGTTCATTGGACCCTCTCCTGAGATTGGAGGTTTTTCTTATAGATATTGATGATTCCCCTAACTAATAGACTAAGTCTGGACACTATTTCCGTTGTCTCGGATCTTTTGATATATCTGCATCTGCCACGACTCCGCTGAGTAATCTTTCAACCGCCATCATTCAATCTTCCCAACATCCTACAGTCTCACCGATGGCAGAGCCCTATCGTCGTTCAATCGTCAACGTACCACAAACTCCTCCCCAATATTTACACTACATGTGGTTCTATTATTAGTAGCAGCCCTCTGGACAGCGGAACCAACAGTATCGCGCCGAACTCTTACTAGACGATTAGCTTAGCGTCTGACAAGTTGCACCGTAAGCAGCAACCTGCACGTCCCGTCCAAGACCCCTGGTATGTTCCCTCCCCCCTGTCTAGGACGGGACGGGCCAGACCTTCAACGCTTCTCTCCCATTGGGGGAGGAGAGGGTGAATAGCCAGGCGCGCAAGTGCATGCGCTGGACGAATCCTACCGAGCATTACCCTCCCCGATTTCTCAGCCTCGGCTTCACTGCTCTCTCTTTTTCTTTTTCTTCTTCTTTTTTTGCCCGCTATTTCGCAAGTGTTCCTTTCTTCTTCTTCTTCTGTGAATCCACCGTCAGTCGTTAGTATTTTTAGCCATCACCCGCTTGATTCTTCTTACTTATTTCTTTTTTTGTGTGTCAAAAGTCGGAGTGACCTGATAAGTTGACCCCCACAACTTGGAAGTTGAGCCAAACCACCCCCGCCAAGACACTTTCAGCCCTATCTATTCTCTCGAGGGATCGCAATGTTGGCTCGTGGATCAGCATCACCACATGGCTCATCCTAGCGATGCGGCCAAGGAGCCGTTCATGCAGTCTGACCATCAGCGGCAGCGGCTGAACCACCAGGCCTCCAATGTCTCGGCGCTCACCATTGTCACGGCGAGCCTATACGATGGGCCGGCTGAGCAGCAGTCACGGCTGCATGCGCGCGAATCCCTCGTCTCTCTCGACTCTCGGCTCACCTACGCCGGAAACGATGACGACGGAAACTATACACGGCAGGGCGTCCCCTCGTCCTGGACGGTATCGTTCCCTTACCCTGGGGCGCCGACGACGTGCAGTCGCGTGCCGCCTTCCCCGGGGGTGGGCGACGGCAAACGAAGTTTGCCGGCCAGAGCGCTGTCCAGAGTAGGTCGCAGGGCGTCGTCGAGGCGGCATAGCCTCCGCCACCGACCGACGCAGGAGGCCATCGACGAGGAGGAATACGACCTGTCCCTGCTTGCAAGTGCTGAGCCCGTGGACGGTGCGTACGAGACGATCCGCGAGCAGGATGAGCACGACGACCAGGTGCCGTCGACGCCGACGGTGTTCGACGTCGGCAACGCCCTGGGCCCGATGGGCGCCCAGGACAACGAGTTCCTGCGCAAGCTGTGGGAGCAGGAGTCCAGCGGACATCTGACGGGCGGGATAGGGCAAGGGTTCCGGGCCGAGTCGAGGCTGCGCGATGCCGACATCCTGTCGTCGCCGACGGCCGTGCAGCGCAGCCTGTCGCGTTCCTTCTCGAGGCATCTCTCGGCGGGGGATCGTGTGGGACGGAGGCAGGTGATCAGCAGCATCGGCCAGGAGGAGGCCAACAGGCGCGGCGAGGTGATTGAGGTGATGCACGAGGGGACCGGGACACCGGCGGCGGCGGCAGCAGAGAGCATTGCCGATCTGAGCACTCTGGGGGGGCCGGACCACATCGTACCGGACGAGGCGCGGTCGCGGTCGCGGACCGTGAGCACGGGCGGGCCGTCGCCGAACCGCAGCAGCACGGAGCTCTTCTACCCGCAGCCCAACTGGAAGCCGGTGTCGATGCGGTGGCCGTACCTGCTCCTGCTGGTGGTGCTGTCGGTGGGGCTGGGGGCAATGCAGGAGCTGCTCTTCCGGACGTACGACGGGGACAGGCCGCTCGTGCGATTCGTATCGCCGGGCGACGTCGAACCTGGGACGTACTTCCTGGTCAAGTTCGGGCCGACGATAGCGGCCGTGTTTTTCGGGGTGCTGTGGCAGTTCACCGACTTCGAGGTGCGGCGGTTCGAGGCGTACTATCAGATGTCGCGGCCGGGTGGCGCGCTGGCGGCGGAGTCGATCAACGTCGACTACATGACGAGCTTCAGCCTGCTGCGGCCGGTGGGGGCGCTGCGGGTCGGCCACTACGCGGTGGCGCTGTCGTCGCTGGCGACGACGCTGGCGGCGTCGCTGGTGCCGACGTTTGCGGCGGCGTCGCTGGTGCTGACGCCGGACCGTCACCAGAGGGCGGCGGACCTGGACCGGGTGAAGGAGATACGCATCTCGGGCGTCTTCTCGCGGCTGCTGACTAGCACGCTGTGCGTGTGTGCGGCGAGCGGGGCCGGGCTGCTGTGGCTGCTGCAGCGCCGGCGGTCTGGGCTGGCGGGCGACGTCCGCGGCATCGCGGGGCTGGCATCCATGGCCGTCGTGTCGCACATGCTCATGGACTTCCGCGACCTGGACACGGCCAACCCGGAGGACGTGCACCACAGACTCAAGGGCCACCGGTACATTCTACGCAACTCGTCGCTCGCACCCGACGACGAGAACCCGCCGTCGACGGCGGAGCGCAACAAGTACACCGAGAGCCACCTCCCGGGCAACCCGCACCCGCTGATGCTGCGGCCGGCGGGGGGGCTGCCGTTCATCGCGTCCCTGCTGGCCTTTATGGGCTTCATCCCGCTATTCCTCTTCACGGCCGCCGACGTCGTGACCGACAAGGCCTCGTGGGTGGTGACGGCCCTGGCCGTCGCCCTCAAGCTGGCCTGGGGCAGCCTCGAGACGGCCGTGCGGATGATGGAGCCCTACTACATCCTGTCGCGGCGGCACGCGCCCTCCAAGACGCTCACACTCGACTACACGGCCCTACCCTTCGGGTACATGCCGATGCGGGCCCTGTTCAACGGGCACGTGCTCGTCTTCCTCGTCGGCTTCGGCACCGTCATGGCGGAGTTCCTGACCATCCTGGTCACCGGGCTGGCGTCGGTGGACGGGCGAGACTTTCTCATGAGCCAGGACGAGCTCCATAGCCACGCCGATCAGCAGCGCCGGACCCGTGACGGTGACGGCGACGGTGGGACCGCCGTCGGGAGGAGGGACCACGCCGATGAGGATCTGGACATTGTCGGGTCCGGCCAGGAGACCCTCCAGTCGTTCTACGTCTCCTTCGGGCTGGCCATGTTCATCCTGCTGTACATGACCGGCGTGGCGACGACGGTCTTCCTGAGACGCAGGCACCCCTTCCTGCCGCGGCAGCCCAACACGATCGCGTCCGTGCTGGCGTTTATACACCAGAGCAAGATGCTGTACAGCTTCGTGGGCACGGCCAAGATCAGCCGGAGGGAGCTGGTGCAGAGGCTGGCGGCGCAGGAGGCTACGTACGGGCTTGGGTGGTTCATAGGCCGCGACGGTCAGGTCCACTGCGGTGTGGACCGGGAGGAGCTCAGGAGTGACTATAAGCATGGGGTCGATGTATCTATGGGGGTGCAACCTTGGACTTCGAAATGGGATCAGCTGTGAAAGGGGGAGAGGGTTTCCTTTTTTTTTTTTTTTTTTCCTTTTCCTGTTTTTTTCTCTTCTTTTTTTTTCACTTTAAACTGTCCAAAGCATAATAGTTGCATTACATGCTGCATAGGAATGATGATTTTGTACTAGATTATATAATGATAATACGTTCGGATATAACTGATGACATGTGCATAAGAGGAATCCTCTGGGTGGAAAAAAAAAGTTCAAAAATAATGATAATTTACGAGCAGTATTATATGATTCATCTTCACATCCGCCAAACGATATCAGGTACTTGATCGAGGAGTTATCACACAACGACCTGAGAGAGATGCTAGAGAGATACTACTAGTATCTAGTAAGTACTGGAGTGAAGAGGAAGAAAACATGGATAGGAAACGCGATAAATAACGATTTTCACCGCGTTGGACGGCACAACATACGACTGAGTCGTGGCCCCCAAGTATATTCTCAGCCGTACTCCGTAACATGCACGGTATTACATCATGATGGTCAAGATTGGGCCGTACAAACCGGCAAGGATCAGCCGGTCGTCAGCCGGCTGAGACTCACGAGGAATGGGAGGGAAGGTCAGAGAGTGCTGCTGCCGGCGAAGCTGCAAGGAGATGATCAGGATGGCATGAGACGTGGAACCGGAAACTACGGGGTAATGGGAGCGGGGTTTCAGTGTGGTATCATTACTCGATAACACGGCATAGAGGTAAAAAGAGAAGTGAATGGAATATGAAATGTGGTCTCTTGTTTTTTCTTCCTCATTTTGCTTTTTCTGTCTTTCCGTCTGTGTGTACGTTTTGAATGTGAAGCATGAGAAGGAGAAGGAGAAGAGGGTGGTGGTGGTGGTGGGGAGAGGATGGGATGGCATGGATGAACCTGGATAACGTTCCAGTAAAAAAAGAGGAAGCGGTCTATCGCCATGTCTTGTTTTGTGCAGGTCAGAGCCTTCTTCCTTCATCCATTCTTCTTTCCTTCTTTTCTTTCCTTCTCCTAGTTAATAGGAGACAAGATAGGGACGCGACGGCAAGCAAGACCTCGTTCCCGTATGGTGAGACCTGACCTGAAGCACATGGTCCACGGCCTTTGAGGAAGGAGGGGGAGGGAGGAGGCAGTGCAGCGTGGGCATTCCCTGGATTTAATTTCAGCGAGCCGCGGGGGGTGGATCAGGGGGGGGGGGGGGGGGGGCCTTTTGATCTCGTCTCCAGGCGCTTGTTTCCAGGTCGTCTCCAGAAAGTAGTATTCGATATCGAGTTCCAGGAGGGGTATTACGAGAATGCGACGTACATGTAGTATTGTTTGTTATTGTCATTGCTGCCATGAATATGGTTAGTTGCACGTGAGAGTACGGGTGTACGGTTGATACGGAGGTGACAGTCCAGTGATGGGCAAAGTTGGGAAGAGGACGAGGATGATGCAAAGACTCCAGCACATGCATGTTATTACTCCGTAGAGATGCTGGGTATGTTAATATCATTACGAGTAGACGAGTAGATTACCCGTGTGATGGAGATTTCGTGTTGTGAGTCTACGAGTGCGAGTACGGGATACGTGCATTGTGATTATGAGTTACTGTGATGATGATGGATTATCATCATGATTGTTATTATTCGTAGCAGCCAGAGTAACAATACTTACTGCCCATACAGATGACTGTTTACGATGAATACTGGCTTTGCTCATTGAGGGAGGGAACAATTGGCGGAGGAGGACCCTACCTAGGAGGTGGAGGTTAGGTGATGATGGCCTGTAGCCTGTAGCCTGTGGCCTGTGGCCTGTAGCCTGTAGCCTGTATGGGTAGGTAATGATACCGTAATAGCGCTCACCGATTTTGGCAGTTACGAGTTTTAATGATACCAATAATACCCGTATCGTTATATGACCAAGGAATTGGAGAGGCTCGCTGACTTGGTATTACACTCCAAATGCCCAGCATTATTACACTCGTACTTATTCTTCCTCGTAACATTGTTGTATCCATACCCGTACTCGTACAGATTGACAGACAGACCCGGAGACTTGTAGACTATGAATTTTCATTCTTTCAGATGCCAGCTGGAGACTTTGTGGGCCACTATCTCTCTCCTGCCGCCGCCGCCCCCCCCCCCCCCCCCCCCC